ACAGCACTTATTCTGTTTAGATGGTGCAACCAAAGGCGAGGAAGAGTTATGAAAAGATAAAGGTAAAGCCAAACAACACAGAGATTATCCTAAAATGAAAAAGATGCTTTTAACTTTCCATCTCCTAAGCTAATGTTTGCATTAAGGCAACATCACAGATAACATAATGCAATAATGCAGATGTGTAGTTAAGCTGCATGGACAACAATAATAAACTACACTTAACTTTACTGTTAATATAATTCTTATTTTATGTTTAAGAGTTGATATCAGAATAGATCTGTGGATTCTAAAGTGCAGAAAAGAAGAGATTCTTTTTTAATTTCTGTATATAACTTGTTAAACAAACCTTATAAACCTTCATTTGTGATTACCTTTGTAGTTTAAATCAAATGTCCTGAGGAATATTGCACTTGAGGCCTGATCAATAATGACTGGTAATACTAACGCTGTCCTAGGAGGAACAATCATTTCCTGTCTCTGTGAACCTGCAGTGACTGAGCGGTCGATATAACTTCAGGATGAGCAAACGAACCATCAACGAAGCCCAAAGCACGATGACATCAATTTTATCTCTTAAGATCATGAGATAGACGAGACGCTGAGTTGATTGTTTTAAGGAAATTAGGTGATTTGTTTTTGTCATATATCTTCCAGACTATTACTACCTTGCAGGGGCTTCTCTGTGGCTGAAATCCGAAATTATTTGCCGCTCCAAATAAAAAGAACGTTAATTTAAATATATATTATTTTATAAAACACCTAAATGAAGAGAGGAGTAATGGCTATCTACTAACAATAATAAAATCTTAAAAGTCTGTAAAACCAACATTTTTTTACACTGCCTTCCACAAGTATTTTTAAATTCTCTTACTCTTATTCTCTTAATGTTTGCTGTTCCATACAAATAAGGCATTACATGTAATGTGGGGAAAAAAAATGTTGGTCTATAACATTAAATCATAATAAAATTAAGGGGTTTAAATAATTTTGCAAGGTCTAAATTTTCCATTTACAGTGATGAAAATAAGTATTTAAACACTGCTTTTTACCAAATTCTTCCACTTAGAAATCATTGAAGGGTCTGAACTTGTCATCGTAGGGGTAAGTCCACTGTGAAAGACATAATCTAAAAATAAATTCACAGCTTATGACTTTTTAACTATTTATTTGTATGATACAGCTGCAGCTGCAACTAAGTATTTGAACACCTATCAGCTGGAATTTTGACCTTCACAGACCTGTTAGTCTGCCTTCAAAATATCCACTTCCACTCCATTTATAATGCTTAATTAGATGCACCTGTTTGAGGTCGTTAGCTGCATAAAGACACCTGTCCACTCCATACAATCAGTAAGAACCCAACTACTAATATAGCCAAGTCTAAAGAGCTGTCCAAAGACAATAGAGACAAAATCATAAACCTCCACCAGGCTGGAAAGGGCTACGGAGAAATTCCAAGCAGCTTTGTGAAAAGAGGTCCATTGTTGGAACAATCATTAGAAAATTGAAGCAGCTAAACATGACTGTCAATCTTCTCGGACTGGGGCTCCGTGAGAGATCTAAACTCGTGGGGTCTCAATGATCATAAGAAAGGTCAGAAATCAGCCGAGAACAACATGGGAGGAGCTGGTTAATGAAACTAAGACATCATAGTTTGAAATAGTTTGAAATCATACATGGCACGGAAGGTTGCCCTGCTTACAACAACATATGTCAAGGCCCGTCTTGAGTTTGTCGATGGCCATTTGGATGATCCAGAGGAGTCATGATGAGACCAAAATAGAACTTTTTGGTCATTATTTCACTAACTGCGTTTGGAGTAAGAATAATGATGAGTACCCTCACAAGAACACCATCCCTTCTGTGAAGCATGGGGGTGGCAGCGTCATGCTTTGGGGTTGTTTTTCTGCACATGGGACAGTGCAGCTGCACTGTATTAAGCAGAGGATAGATGGGGCCATGTATTGCAAGATTTTGGATGACAACCTCCTTCCCTCAGTTAGAGCATTGAGGATGGATCGAGGCTGGGTCTTCCAACATGACAACAATCCCATAGCACACAGCCAGGATAACCATGGAGGGGTTCTGTAAGAAGCATATCAAGGTTCTGGCATGGCCTAGCCAGTCTCCAGTCCTAAATCCAATAGAGAATCTTTGGAGGGAGTTAAAACTCTGTGTTTCTCTGCGACAGCCCAGAAAACTGACTGATCTGGAGAAGATCTGTGTGGAGGAGGAGGCCAAAATTCCTCCTGCAGAGTGTGGAAACCTGGAGAAAAACTACAGGAAACATTTGACCTCTGTAATTACAGAATAAAGGCTACTGTACCAAATATTAAGATTGATTTTCTCAGGTGTTCAAATACTTTCAATTATTTGCAGCTGTACCATACAAATAAATAGTAAAAAAAAAAAAAAAAAGAAAAACAATTATATATTTTTATTTTGGGATTATTTTTGTTAGAGCACATCTCTCAGAGTGGACACACACCTACAATGACAATTTCAGACTTATTTTCGTCACTGTGTTTTGTATAATTTATAAGTACAAAATCTTCAAAGCCAAAGATAGAGTGTACATAAAAACTACATAATAATTGCTACATGTATTCTTCTTATTAAGGATAAAGGTAAAATGCAGAACCTCGGAAAAATAATCCTAGTAAATAACAATGAAACCTTGCATGCATTTTAAAAAATGTGAAACATCAAGTTTAAGCAAAAACATATACATAGGGAACTAATGAGAGATTGTTTTTTAAATTATATTTAGGGATTATAAAGTGAGGAAAATGAGTGGTTTGCCCCGGCTAAACTGCACGGCAGAATCTAACTACACACCAACAGACACATGCGATGAGGCTGGCTGCCAAAGCACACAATAAAAAAGCTTTGATTAACAAGACAGACAAGAATGCCTTTTATCTGGTAAAAAAAAACAAAAAACACAAAGACACATTTTTCTTCATTTAGTAAGTAGTTCTGCACTGATGTGTTGGAGTTTGAAATACCTGAACGTCAAAATTTGCACACCTTAAAGCTGAAATGATTGATACCTAATATTATCTTACTCTTGAAATCAGGAGCACTTTGAAAAGACTGACCATGCATATTATAACCACATCCAAAACAACTCTCACTGAACATAATTGCTTAAAAGTGTTTTGTTGTTCTGCTTTGTTGTCATCAAGATACTTGAGTATCTGTCTGCGAATTTTAAACTTGGTTACTCAACCGCATCTAAAAAAAAGGCAAATAAAACTGTCTGTAAACTGCAAACAGGATGGCATGTAACTAAATCATCCACCACTGTCTACATTCTGTCTAGTTTGGGATTAAGGACAAGGGTATATATAGGCTATATATCATACATATAGCGCTATATATATATATATATATATATATATATATATATATATAGTTATTTCACTAGCTGTAGTGGGAGGTCGATCGTATCAAAGTTTGTATGTAATCATTCTACATAATTCATTTCAGTTATTGAAATGAGTTACTGCATTAAATAAACTTTAAGTTTTGCTTATTTATACATGTATTGTTTTATTTTTCATAGTTTATACTTTTTTATATACATAAACATAAAACTGATATTCTTGAAGTATTATTGCTCTATTGATGACATTTCAATGTCAACTTAAAAGTCTATAAGGTGATCATGGAGCATTCGGTTAAAGCTGTTTTTTTATAAGCATACATACAGTACAGTGCCTTGGAAAACTGTTAATATCCCTTGAACCTTTGATATTTTGCTTGGATATAATGTGGCAGAACTAAAAAATGTGGTGCATATATGTGGAATATAAGTAGAATTGTTTTTAAATTTATTTATAGGGAAAATCAGAAGTGCCTGGAAAACATGTCAGTGTGGATTAAAAGGAGATTTAGCAGAAAGTTCTGTCCTATTAAGCATTTAGGCCTAAATCATATTGTGCACCTCTTGCCTCCACCAGTATTTTTCATGATTCCATGTTTTCAGATCAAATTATTGGTATTATTCTATTTTTATTTTTGTAACAGTGCAACAACAGCATTTATGGCTCTTGTGATTAATTCCCCCATGCTTGGTTTTACTGGTCCTTTAACGCTGCTGTTCAGCTCTCAGTTCTCAGAGCGTCGATCTCCAAACCAGTTAAGTTTTCTTTTTGGTTTTGACATGTTGTTATGCAGCTTTTTTTATTAACACCTGTTGACAAGCCCGCAAAGTTGTACCCTAATATGGCATTATTGGGGCTTTATCAAGCAAATAACTATCAGTTAATGAGGTTAAGAATGTTTGTTGAATCTCATATGGTGCACGCGTAGGAGCCCACAATAGATTATGAGACTCTATCCACATGGTTAAGATGTTTGTTTTAATGTTTTAAACGGTTCAGCCAAATACCAGAGCTTAAGCTACATAGGAATCTCTAAATGGGATAATAGAAAAACTTGGTAAATGGCCTGTACTTACAGAGTGCTTTTTTCGAGTGAGAAGACTTGACCAAAGTGCTTTATACTACTTTCAGTCATTTACGCACACACTCACACACTGATGGTGGTAAACTACATTGTAGCCACAGCTGCCCTAGGGCTCACTGACAGAAGCAAGGCTGCTGTACACTGGCGCCAACAGTCCCTCCGACCACCAGTAGGCAATGCGGGGGGTGAAGTGTCTTGCCCAAGGACACAACGACACTGAAAGTTGTTCATAGATGTTTTCCATTCAATCTGACCCGGGTGATTTCGTAAACATAACTGGTTCAGACATTCTTCACACAACTATGGAAATGTAGCTCTCTTAATTATGGAGCAGGCTAAGTTCAAATGGATGCCACGCTTTAAATTGGCAAAACCTACAAGTAAAGGCCCACAACTTTGCACTTAAATAGTTGGATAAATTAAAAAAAGAACATGGATGGATGGCTAGAGAGATCATTTTCAATCCTGTCCAGCCACATCCTGTGGCTCAAAATCTTCCTATGAAAGATCTTCTTATACACTGATGTTTTTGTGTTATGCATCAAAACTTGGAAAATTTCAAGGGTAATAACTTAATTTACAAAGCACTGTATTTGCATCCACATACATAACCTCAGCTTAGACAACCAGGAATAAACAATGCTTCTTAGCTCTATAGCACTGTACTCAAGACCAGCAACTGATTCTTTTCTCTACGCTTGAAAAACCATTTCCCTTTATCCCTACTTTTGACCACAGTAGCAGCCATTAAATTAAAATGGTTGTAAATTCACAGAGCCATGGTCAGAAAAATAACTGTGAGCTTTGTACAGACAATTTAAGGTCAAGGATGTGTTTATAGAGAGGAAATATACAGTAAACAAATGGAGGAGGCACCTATTCACCAACATACTTGTAGAGTCACTTGGAAGCCGCAGAAGGTTTCTGCTTATGTGGCTCACAGTGTGGCAGTAACACATTTCCTGAAGGATGCTGATGCCTCTTTGATTCTTTTCCTTCCCTTTCACATTCCTTTTTTCAAGTTTTCTTTTGTGCGTTTTGGCGTCTAGTTGTCACTGTGAAAAGACTCCGGACTTGACTCACCATCGTCGCTTAGAACCTCGGTGTTGGTGAAAGTCCCAGCAATCGTAGCACCCAGAGCTTGTCTGACGGGTGCCATCTCCGATAAAATAATGTTATCATGATTGCTTACCAGCGTGGTCTTGTCCATAATCTCCTTGCTATGCTTGGAAACGACAGCATCCAGGAAGTCGTACTTGTGAGACAGCATGCCGCTTTCGAATAAGTACTTGGTCAGGTAGGAGAAAGCCACATTTGCTAAGAAAGATGCCACCATGGAGACAGACTTGAAGGGGAACCTCTGCTGAACGAAGAACTCTACATCTCCGGTGAGGTGGTGAACCCTTTCCACTGTCACCCAGCCAGGGTAGTAGATGAATGGAGGCAGTTTTAGGTAAGGCTCCCCTCCACCAATGCGCAACAAGAGTCCAAAGATATAGGCCGCCACAGAGCCGTATGTGTTGGTGCCTTTGACGAACAAAACACTTAGAAGCTGGGGGAAGATTATAACGTAGACGAGGTCAGAGCTTAAGTACCAAAGGCCGTATACAGATCCGGTTAATAGTGCCATTGCTGTAGCAAGAGCTCCAAACACAAAGATGGTGATCCGCATCACCCAAACGATCTCAGTATCAGAAGCCTGGAAGAGAAAGAAAAGCAATTGCCATTGTTGTTTTTTTTTCTGACTGTAATAAGGCTTCAATTTACTAAAGGGACGAGCCAATATTTGCATGCTAGTAATAAATTTTAGTGCTCTTACCGACTGCCGAAAGGCTAGCTGATAGATGTTCCTGGCAAACATGGAGCTGGCTGACAGTATGGACGAGTCTGCTGATGACATCACTGCTGCGGACACCGCTCCCAGTCCAAAGAAGGAGATATAGGGTGGGCAGAGGTGTTGAAGCACTATGGGAAGGATCATGTCAGATTCATCCTTGTCCTTCGGTGCAAGGGAGCCATAGGTAGTTTGGTTCCAGTCTGAAAAAAAAAGGGTTGGAAATGTTGATCAAAGATCTTGCTGTGAACAAAATGTTTTCCAATTTTATTCTGATTTTATTCTGTTTTGTTTTGCTTTTAAGGACAAAAGGTTTCACCATTAAAACTGATTATGAGCCTCTCCGTCGATAAATGTTTTAGCCAGAGAAAAAAAACAAAAGAGCTTTGAGCTTTGGAAATACAGCAGAGATTATCAATGCAATGAGTTTAGAAAGGAGGATAACAATAAAAACAAAGATGAACAAGAAATAAGAAAAAAAGTAACCAATTTTTACACTTAAAATGCTAAAAGAACTTCAACAGATGCCAAATGTATTTTAACAATGCATTAGAATTTGCACAAATTCATTGAAAGGACTTATTGAGCTATTCAAATATTGTTGTTTTGGAGAAAAAAGGGGTAACTGGAAGTAAATTTTGTGGGGGTGGAGATGTTTGTTAAGGTGGTACTAGTTGTATTGTTTCTATTTTCTAGAAAATAGGGGAAGATTCAGAGTGGGCATTTCCGTTTCCCTATGAGCGTCTATGACTAAAAAGAAGAACCACCTGCAGAACATTTACTGCTAATTAAATTTTCCACCTATAACATTTAGAGCTGAAATCTATGAACATCAGACATACAGAAACCTGTACTGTAAATACGAACAGCTGGACTGAAGCCTTTATGAAAAGCCTAAAGGGACACAAATCTTATACATAAAAAAGTGGTAAAATTACTATTTATTAATGTGGAAAAAATACTATGTAACTTGAGATACATGGATGAGTTTAAACTACATATTCTGAATAAATAACTGAATATTGTTTTGATTCCAAGCTATTCTAAGTAATCTAAGACATGTTTTTGATCCATTATTGAAGTTATTATGAATTTGTTTAATCTTCCTACCTTAAAAGTTTAAAACATTCTTGCAGCGAGAAAGTCACTCATTGAGACTCTGAACTGCAGGGTGGTCTCCAGATGACTTTCCCAATTTGAACCTGGTAAAAAGTAATATTTCTACACTAAAATGACCTCAAAAAACAAAACAAAAAAACATTAAAATGTCTATTTGATATGTTTCAAATTTAAGCAAAAATGACAAGAGAAGAAATTAATCGGCTAATATAATATCCAATAAGATTTATTTTGGGGGATTTGTATCATTGCTAGAAGATAATCTAGATGGTGGTCTAAGCTATGAACATAATAAGGTATATTTTAACTAAGCTTGTCCTGGCCCCAGACTCGATTTGCACTAATACAGTATCACAGTAGCATGGGATGCAGGCACTAACCCTCTGCTCCTTATATGGGCCTGGTGTTGCTATCTTCTCAACTGTTTTGATGAATACTCTTTACATAATCTATGGGATTCATGATCATTAAAGCAGCTGTTAGTACTGTGGGCAGTTACCACATCCTTCCCTATTGTACTGAACTATTTATTTCACTTTTAATCATTGGCTTTTGATACATCCAGGGCTTTAAGTGCTTTTTTGTTGTTTGAGTCTATGACTCTCTGCTAGAAAACTGCAATACTGCAATAAAATTACATTTATAATACAACTGTCTGGGATAAAGCTGTACAAAGTGAATAAAGTATTGACATTTCTGTTCTCAAGGATCTAAGGTTGCACAGACTGATCCACTGCTTCTTTATTTAGATGGCTCCTATCTTCCTCTATGTGTTTCTTTTTCCCTCCACCGGACTTGCCAGCATTACAACGAATGAACAAATGTGCTTCCTAATCTCTAATTTTTCTGAAAGACTTCTATCTTTTCATCACTTTTTCACTTCCCTTTAGCTCCATGATCTATGTCTTCCTCTCCAATCCCTGGATACTCATAAGCAGTGACTGTTTAACAGCAGTTACACATGAAAAATCTACAGAAGAACCAAACTAATTAGCTGTTCTTCAGATGTAATATTTAAAAAAATCTGCACGGTCTGATGGCTCTCTTCTGCGCACACTATCTCAGGACCCGTCTGGTGGTTATCCTCCAGACGCTGTATGAAACGGCATGAAAAACATCCGACTGGGAAATAAAGAAAGCTGCTTGGATGTAAACAACCCAAATGGACATTGCACTGTGTTTGATCACACTCTCTGGTTTGAATAAAGGATCTGACTCTTGGACTTATGAAGTTTCATTACTGGATCACTTTATGTCTTCATGTAAGAAGATGAATTGTGGATAAATGTCTGATTTAATGAGTTCTGAACAGATGCAGATAAGACAATGAGCAATATTTTTAGCTGTGGAAAGATTTCTCCATGATGAGCGACTGATCTTTGAATGTTTTAGGAAAGGCCTTTCATTCATCAACTTTTTCTCATCTGAATCACAATCACAACTGCATTTCTTTTTTTAACATTCTATGGTTATAGAACTACATAAAGCAAAGCGTCTCCTTATGTCACTACCTAGTCCCAGAGACGCAGAAGATGATGACGACCTTTTGCTGCTATTGTTTATTTTAATGTAGCTCTGTCTGTATGTTTACAGCTATTATTAAGCTGAAGTTGTGAACCTACATCCAAAAGTCAATGTTTGCATCCTCTAAGAGTCTTTATTCAAAAATTGTTTCTTATTTAATTCCATACATCCGCTGTTATGGAAGAAAAGCATTCCCAAAATACGATGTTGCTACAACTCACCATTCATGGTAAAGATATGTTGCATTCTAGATAAACATTATCTCTTTTTGCTTTTTTGGCATAACAGCCTTCTCTTGTCTAGTTTTCTGTAAGGACCAGAATCATGGAAAGTACAGATGTTAACAGTCCTGTGGACAGATTCTTCCACCTGAGCTGAGAATCTCTGCAGCTCTTCCAGAGTTAAAATGAACCTTATGATTGCCTTCCTTATTGAGTCTATCTTTGCACATCCTTGGAAGGCCATGTCTTTGCAGATTTGCAGTTGTGCAATTGCATTTTCATTTTCAGGTGATGGGATACCTGATGTCTTCAGCTTAAGTCCACACACTTATCTTTCAACTAACTGTGCTCTATATATTATATTAACCTATTTGTTCCCCAATAAACGTCCAAGTCCTTTATAAAACTACTGCAATTTACTGAGATGCAATTACAGATTTGTATAGTGAATTTAGTGCTTCAGGGTTTTAAATGTCAATTTTCTACACTGGATTTTATCAAAGTGCATCAGAGTAAAAGGTTCTGAATACAAATGCTGTCATGGTTTTGTTCAAGTTTTATTTTGAGATTTCATTGGTGTTCTACAGATTTTTGATTCTATTTGAGTTCTTGGATATTTCCTGTTTGCCCTCTTGTGTCAGTCTATTTTCTCCTAGCTCCTTTCTTGCCTCTGTTCACACCTGCTCCCAATCTGCCAATTAGCCTGGCCTTTGTTTCTCCGATATAACCTCCTCCTGTTCAGCCACTCTTGGCTGATTCGTCATTTCTTTGCCCCCTTGTTTTGAATATTCCTGGCCTTCAGTATTTTTGTGGATTTATGTTTTGGATTTTTGCTTCTGTTGATCTTTTGGTTAATTAAACTTCAAGAAAACTCCTTCAGCTTCAGTCTACATTTGGGTCCTGTCAAACCTCCAGCACCATTGTGACAAATGCAAGCCAAACTTATCCGAAACTAAAAGCCAAACTAATTATAACTACCTTTTCTCTTAAAAAAATGTTTTGCATTGCATTAGTCAACTATATCAAAAAAGAATAAAATACATAACATGCAAGCTTTTTTTGCATTTAAAAATGCAGAAAAAATTAACGCTGTGCATTTATATGTTCTCTCTTTTTATTTTTTATATGTTCCCTTGACTCTCACTGGGGGAAAAAAAAAAGCATGGATTGTCCTCCTTTTCAACACACATCTATGGTAATTTTTGTTTGTTTAGTACTCCTCCTCCACCAACAACATGTATTTATTTATATACAGGTAAACCCCAAAAGACTGACAAGTCTCGTTCGGCTGTGTAATTAAAGGTGGATACACAAAACTATTTCATAGTGAGCACTGCCACCTATGCTAAGATATGGGAACACTTTTGTTTCCCACAACTCCAGTCGGCCTGGGCAGATGGCCGCTCACACTGAGCCCGATTTTGCTGGAGGTTTCTCCCTGTTAAAAGGGAGTTTTTCCTCTCCACTGTAGCTACAAGCATGTTTAGTGGGAGGGATTGCCTTCGAGTCAATGAGTCGATGCAATCAACTGGTTTTCCTTAGAAAACTTTGAATCAATTTGACACTGGTGAACTGTATAGTGCCTTGAGATGACGTGTGTTGTGAATTGGCGCTATATAAATAAACTGAACTGAATTTAATTTAATTGATCGCGGTGTGTTTAATAGACTTTTGCAGAAATTAATTTATTAAAGCAATACTTGATTTTGCTAGTATAAATATAATATATTATATAAAACATATTATTAACAAACTTTCCTGAATGCCAGAAATATGATTAAATTCAGTAACTAAAACAACTTTCATCAATCTGAAGACCTAATATGGGTAGAAATGTAAACTTGTGAGCCTGTAGGAGTGTGTAAATTTACCAGTGGAAGCCCCAATAGCTCCGATGAGGACAGAGGGGACAGCCATGACCAAGCAGCCAAAGGCAGCTATGAAAGAGAGAACTTGAGCATAGGTAGCTGAAGAGGCAGAGAGAACTCGTTGAAAGTAGACCTGCCAGGGAATCCCTCCCAACATCTGAAGGTGGAAACACACGCAAAGTAAATACAGACTTCAAACCAATGAATCACATTCAGCAGTCTAAATAACTCATGTCAGCTCTGAAGAAGTGAGCGCTGAAAACAAATGCGCTGCCTTCAAAACATATTTTTCTCCATAAGTCAAACGTTTGCAATACAGTGTTTAATGATGGAGCCTTTCATAAAAGCTATAGCTTACCAGCAAAAAGAAGTTGTCTGCCCACAGCCAATGGTCTTCAGGTTTAATGTTACCCAGCCAAGGGGACTGATAGATTTCTTCCTTGGCGGAAAGACCGATGTCTGACACAGCAGGATTGGAAAGGGCAAAAGGCACACTGATCCACTGAATAACAGGAGAAAAATAAGGATTTAAATGTGCTTTATTTCAGATATAGCTACAATCTTATGCTTAATTTTTTACATCCTTCAACCTGATGTTGAGATACAGCCAAAGACATTTATAACATAATTATTATGTTAAAGGACAACATAAATAAAATAAGTGAAATATAAATATATTTTTTAAATGCATTATAAATACAAATCGGAAAAGAATGCTGTGCCTTTGTATTCATTCTTGTTGATAACCCTTAATACAAGACTGTGCAGCTGATAGTGAACAATTTGTAAAAAGAATTCAACTGTTCTGTAAAAGCCTCAGAACTTTGCAATCTTCGTAAACAAACAGAATGATGAAGACCAAGTACAACATAGTCTGCCCACATAACATTACCAACTTAGCATTTCATAATTTTGTGTAGTATGGAAAATAGTTCTGGAGAAATAGATTATTTTTAAAGAAAGCCATGTGTATTGATTTGTAAAGTTTGCCATAGGAGAAACTGCAAACGTGGAAGAAGGTGTTGCTCAGATGAAAACTAACTTTTGCATTTTTGTTTTGCAAACATGCAGAAAACTATGTATTGTAGAAGTTAACAGAGTCTTTGATCATAAACTCACCTCCCTCACAGATTATGGGGGTGTTGGTGTCAGGAAAATTTGTTTTATCTGCAACAGGAGCATTGAAGTAGTTCCACATTGATAAGAATATTCATAGAACTAAATACAAGCCAGTCCTGCAGGACAATGTGTCTTTTGCTCTGTAGAGAGATTGCTTGGCTGCAACCTTTCTTGTCTTCAGGAACTCCTCCAGGACTCAGAGGCAAGAGGGAAAGATTGCAGTGTACCTCTCCCACACTGGACACAAACTGTTCTAGACTTTATCCTTTTTCCATAAATCCATCTTCTTCTCATCCACAGCTGACTTAATTAACAAGGCCCAGATTCCATATATGTTTTTCCCTTGTAAATAATACCAACATTTCAGCACATGCTAATACATTTAATGTTTTTATTCCTTAATGGTGTTTGTCCGTTTCATAAAGTAGATTTTTTTTTGTAATTTTTGTTTAAATCAACATTATATATTTTCAGATGTATTAATGTTAACTGTATCTTTGTCTACATTTATCAGCAACCGCCAAAATTAACTCCTTGTGAGCATAAAACACATCTTGATAATGAAGTTTTTTCTTATTCTTAATCTGAAAATACAGCCGGAGCAACAATAGACTAGTTTAGATTATAGCATATTTATATATTAGATAGGCTAAGTCAAAGGCTACTCACCAAACCCAAAAATATGCAGAAGAGCTGGACGACATCTGTGTATGCGACAGAGTACAGTCCTCCAACCAGTGTGTAAAAGATAGCTATGAGCGCTGAAATCACCACAGACATGTTGATGTTTATGTCCACGATCACACTGAGAGTGGCACCTGCATGGCAGCATTACCAGGGTTAGATAAAAATTTAAAACTTAATTCTGTAGAAAGGAATTTAAAGAGTAGATTAAATACAGGGGGCACCCACCCAAGGCAGAGAGGATGGCTGCAGACCAGAAGATTTCCCCCATGAGTGCAGGAATGAAAAGCAATCCCCCCATCCTTTTACCATAAAGCTGCTGGAAAGGGTCCAGCATTGTGACATATCCACGTGATCGCATTGGCTTGGCAAAGAAAAGGCCACCTGAAAGATGTTAGAAGAAACACAGAACTACATTTACAACCCGGAAGCCAGGTTTAGTCCAACACAGACTTGTGTTTCTAAAGTGATGGTTGTAATATCTGGTCTAACTTTTTAGGTTCTTTTTCTGGTTTATATTTATTTTATTCTCAGGGTTCACCAGACTTGCAAATGGACATAAATCAGCAGTGACTCACCTAATACCAAGCTGAGTGCATAACCAAACGGTGCCTGAGCCCAGGCCAGACCATAATCTGGTAGATAGACATACTCTGCTGTTCCATTGATGTAGCCCCCGCCCACCCAGGTTGCTGAAGAACAAAGGGAAGAAGCAAATGTTGAATTTTTTTTATTGTTGGTCTTTTTGTATTTAAAAAAATTCCAGAATATCTGTGGCCACTTCTGCAGTATGTGCGTAAAAAAACGAATATATATGCAGTGAGGAACATAAATATTTGAACACCCTGCTATTTTTCAAGTTCTCCCACTTAAAAATCATGGAGGGCTCTGAAATTATCACAGCAGGTGCATGTCCAATGTGAGAGATATAAACAAAACAAAAAATCCAGAAATTATAATATATTATTTTTTAACTATTTATTTCTATGATACAGATTTTGGGGAACAACCTCCTTCCATTATTTAGAGTACTGACTTCCAACATGACAATGACCCGAAGCACACAACAAGGATAACCAGGGAGGGGCTCTGGAAGAAGCAGATCAAGGTTCTGGCGTGCCCTAGCCAGTCTCCAGACCTAAATCCAAAAGAGAATCTTTGGAGGGAACTCAAACTCTGTGTTTTTCAGCAATAGCGCAGAAACCTGACTCATCTAGAGAAGATCTGTGTTGAGGAGTGGGCCAAAATCACTCCTGCGATGCGTGACACAAAGGCTACTGTACGAGATATTAATATTGATTTTTTTCAGGTGTTCAAATACTTATTTGCAGCTGCATCCTACAAATAAACAGTTACAAAAAATCCTACATTGTGATTTCTGAATTTTTATTTTTTATCAGATTATATCTCTCACAGTGGACATGAACCTATGATGACAACTTCAGATCCTGCAATGATTTTAAGTAGGAGAACGGAGAACTTGCAAGATAGCAGATTGTTCACAATATATATATATATATATATATATATATATATATATATATATATATATATATATATATATATATATATATATATATATATATAAACCAGAAGTAACAGACACTGTTTAACAAATCAATCAGCTTTTTTGCACTTCACCTCACCAGTCATCGTGAATCCCCCCACGAACAGCCCAATGTCCCTTCCCCCGACCATGATACTCTCGCTCCGGTCTACACCTTCACTGACTCCAGAATTCTTGTTTTTCCACGCAGCCCAAATGCCCACGAACAGAATCAGGACATAGAAGAGAACGATGGCCACGAGACCCTCAACGTGGATCGTCATTTTTCCTCCTTTTTTCTGGATCAAATTGAAACGGACTGGAAACTCATACAGGAAACTGAAAGAAAGGAATTTATATTCTTAGATTGCATGAAATTAAGTTTCAAATAAAATGTTTGAGAACATCAGACATCCAGTATTTCTTATTTTATTAAGACTTTGTTCGCTGAAACAAGTATTTTTCATAGGAGCGTGGGTTAAATCTTCATGGAGGGATTTTAATCAAAAGGCAAAAGAAAAGCGCAATATCTATAAGAGAAAGCAAAAAACATAACATAAGGAAGGAGGTTTTTTTTCCAATGTAAAACGAATATTTCCTAACAAAAACTGGCAAATATGTGCATTATTTTTTCAATTTAAAATAGATTCTTATTTACTGATTCGAGCTTTTTAAATTGAGTAAAAATAAGACCTTTCTCTCTTGGCAAAAAATTAATTAATAAAAAAACCTGATAATATTTATTTGTTCCAGATTAAAGTATTTGTTGCTTTGGCTACAGATAAAGAATGACATGGGCAATAATAATAAGATGAACAGTTTTATTCCTGCATAAAATGGAATAGAAGCTGGAAAGTTTATAAACCAGGGAAACCAAAGGACGTTTCCAAAGCTGTTGGTCTGACGCGCCTTGTTGCTTTCTACTTTACTGCTCATCCTTTTTCAGGATGTTTTTCTTCACATTTTAACATCATTTATTTAAGTATATTCATTACTTTTTCAGCTCAACACAGACTTTTTTTTTTACACCCATGCGTAAAAGCCCAGTAGTCATTTTAACGCACACCAACTAGACTAATATCCACATAGTTTATTTAAGTAGACTTAAAGCATTTGCCATTTGATGCTGTTGCTTCATAGGTTCATAATATTGATTTCTTTAAATCATGTCAAGACAGTCAAAAAATAATTTTACTGGGCGGGACTCCGTTAAATAAACTAAAACAGCGCATTTCTTACCTTTCTCTTTGAGGGATTGGTCTTAACAGTTGATATGAAGTCTTCTGAAAAATAAATTAAAAAGTATAAAGATATCCTGGGTAAAAATCACGGCACTTTCTTGTGTATTCCTCCCTGGCGCGCAACCCCGCAATTCCACTAAGCAGTTTTTCTTTTCTTTTTTTTTTAATTGGTGAAGCTGTCCGGTGGAGCCGCGGTGCGCAAAGGGACGCAGAGAGGGAGGGTGGAGGTGGGGTGGAGATGAATGGGAGTGGTGGGTTTATTGGGAGCTGTCAGGGGGAGTAGATGGTGGATGAATGTCTTCCAGGGCAGGACGAAAATAGCACCTAATAGAGAGTGGCGTGACGCACTGCCTCTCTGGAAAATCTTTCCAATATCATCTTGGCTGTGGTTGAAAAACCTTTACTTTGCTGGGTTACATCTCAGGCCTGATTAACGATGTTGCGCAGCTGGTTCCTGTTTTTATCCCCACATGCAATTTATTAACACTGGTCTCACAAAGAGAAGACTTTGATTTAAGTTTATTCCCCACTTTCCCCACTGGTTATTACATTGAACAGGGGCGGTTCCAGACCAGATTTACCACGGGGAGCACTGCTTTTAAATTGGGGCACAGAGCAAAAGAATAAAAAAAGAAACATCAACAATGAATAAATAAAAAAATAAAAATAAAAAAACGGGGCAATAGCTTATCATTCAATACAATTAATGAACCATAGAGTTACTTGTGGCTCTGGAGCTGCAGGTTGCAGAACCCTGATCTGGAGTTGCTAAAGCCAAAAGTGCAACACCTTAATTTTTGAGTCACCATGAAACTAAGACAGTGAAGGTAAACAAAAATGATCATGTTTCAAGGGACCAATTTGTGATGGTTTTAGTTGGTGTTATGTCTTCAGTAAAGGGGCCATAATGGGGCCAGTTCTGCAGGGGCACTTGGGCTGCTGTCTAGAACCGGGGTGTTAATTTTTAAGCAGCAACACTGACTAGAAAAATCTTTTTGAGAAAACCACAGGGAATTATTGATGCCAAAATCTTAAGTCAAGTAGATTGTCCGAAGCCCATAACATTATCAAAGGGTGCTATGGGATGAGGCTTCACAGCATTCAATGCAGGTCCAGCAGATTCCAAAACAGCTTCTTCCCAACCACCATCAGACATCTGAACCATTGAGAAATCTCTAAATCATATTACAAACTGTGCATCACACTGATAACACAAAACCAAAATGCTGCATCTTTGCACCATATATAAATGCTCTGAGCTTCCATAACAATCCGTTTTTTGCACCATATTTTTTTCTCCCACACTATTTACATTTGATCAATGCTGCTCTTTATGGAATGGAAATGTCCATTTACTGTCTGCAAAGCTGTACTAAATGAAAATTTGTTTTGTATACTCTGTATACAAAATGACAATAAAAGTTGTCGAAGTCTAAGTTAAATGCTTTGACCCAAGTCAAAATATACACATTGAATGTCAAAAAGTGCAATTTCCACATCAACCCCAGTTCAAGTTCATACAGCCTCAAGCCATCAATAAGTGTCAAGTCATGACATCAAAGTTCTATGTCAGGTATTAAGAAATGCAACCCCCAACCTAAGAAACAGACAGGCAAGGCATGCAAAGGGCAAGCTGCCTAACTCTGTTGACTGGACTGGAATTGCTTTTTTGTGTGGAAAGGATCTTTAAATGCTGTGCTGTAAATTAGCACCATGCAAAAAAACTGAATTTTTGCTTCAAATGAAGGCATACACTTCCCATGTTCAGCTTTGATTCTAAATCACAAGTCAAAACACTCATTTTAAGATTTGCATGTCCCAAGTGAAGATGTATAACCCCTAAGGGATAGAAACAGGATGTTAGGATAGGCCAAATCCAAATCAAGGGGTGCAGGTGCTGTAACTGTAACTAAAAAACACATTTCAAATAAATCCAGTCTTCTTTGAAATAATTATTATCCCAAAGGGACACTCGTTATTGCATTTTGCTAAAGATTTGACATGTTTATTAACTGCCTATGAGACAAAAAACTTTTCCGATGTAGCTTTTATATTAGAGTGCAGACTATCCGTTTATTGTCAAACTAATTGAAATAAGCTGCTGTTAAAGATTAAATGAAGCATGTTAATTATTATGCTATCAGTTTGTTTAGATGTAACTAATCTTAATAGTTTTCTAAAAACATGTTGAGATTTGCACTGCCTTTTAGACAGAATAACTTGAATTGTAAATTTATACAAAGTCCTTTCCATTTTTTTGAATACCAGGAAAATCCATCATGTGCTGTTTGCAAAATATTTTTAAGCTTCCATGAATTTCTTTGTACCAAATACGTAAAACAAAGAAACTTTACTTTAGAAGCTGTCATGAACCAGACATTTGTCATAAGCTTTCCTTTATTTTTTGAAAGGAAGCTTGATGTTATCATGCCTTAGTCTGTACCCACCGATGTGCTGCATGTTCTTTATTTTTTCTCCCACCGCCTTAGAAATTCTCGAATGACTTTAAAATATATATTCTGCTTCCTAGTGCTCGACAATATCACCTAAATCTTATTACCTTAGAGATTCTCAGTAGTTTTTGTAAAATGGCAGGGAATCAAAAAGTTTAAAAATCAAAATGGCTAAAGTCCAGGTAAAATAATGGGTCACTTCAGCTGAATTCTGAGATGATTCAAAAGCCTACCGCAATCTAATCGACTTAAATATTCAACACTCCTCCTAACTTTGCTTTTAAATGAAATCTTTCAACGCTGGATGTGGGGCCTGATTCTAACTTTTCTTTTTTCTAAATCTCTGGTCTTGAAGTAGTTCTACTTATATTTAGACATCATTATAGCTGATTTCCTAAAAGTTAATTTTCTTTAAACAACATGTTGGTTCTAAATAACTAATTTTCAACTTACTTTCCCATAAAAGTGAACAATTAATTGAAGGAGAAGTTTCTGCGAAATGTTCACATTACCTCTGTGTTCACTTGCCCAATGTGTGCCTTATTGTTTAGGTGGTAGACTCCCAGACCTATAGTCCGTGGCTCTTAGAGGATAGTTTCTTGTTATGAGATGTCCTCATTAAGAAACAGGGTTCAAATGTGTAAACATATAATATTACAGTCTGGATCTGAGATAGACACCTGCTCTATCATACTACCATCAGCTTGTTGTGGACTGGTAACCTGTTTTTAGTGAACACGGGATCCGGGTAACCTATCTACAGTAAAATGGGAGGACTGGCTAAATAACTTTGTGCACAAATCCTTTTTCCCCCCATACTTTCGTTCCCTGGAGTGAAAAGGATGGGGTTAAATTTCAGTGTTGGGTAAAGAAGGATGAAGGAAGAAAATATGGTTAGAATGGGAATTTAGAATGGAGAGATTTATTAGTCATTAGAAACCTAAGTGATTGCAGTATTTTATCATAAAATGAATAGAAAGAGACTTGTATTTCCCATTTAATAGTAAAGTAACAGATAATAATCAATTTATGTGGCGGGAGTGGCATCCTAGTGGTTAGGGCATAAAGCTTGGAATCCTGAGGTTCTGAGTTTGAGCCCCACTCCCACAGACTGCCATTCTGGGTCCCTGAGCAAAGACCCTTAACCCCACACTGCTCCCTGGGCGCTGCACAATGGCAGCCCACTGCTCCCAAATGGGATGGGTTAAATGCAGAGAGCTCATTTTGTTGCTCTGTACTTGTGACAGTGTAATGACAATAAAAAGCTGGGGAAAAAATTATGGATGTAGATTTAACTTGTTTGATTTATTTCATTTGGGAGATAATGACTCTAAAATATTTGGACAGTGTCTTTTTTATTTTATGGAAACGAGAGCAGATAAAGTAAAACAACATAGCTGAGAATATTCAGCATATTGGGAGCCATTTAAAGACTGTTTTCCACATCAGTTTTCCCTAGTTTGACCCCAGTTTATAAAACAGGGATATATGAAAAAAATTAATGCAGTAATGTATGGGTTTGGATTATTATTATTAGTTTACACTTTAATTTATTTGTAGAATTTTAGTTTCATCAGATCCTGATTTACAGCTTTAGTCCTCATCATAACAAATAGTTTCCCAAACAACCATATGTCATGAGTAAAAAAAAAGTCTTTGGATGGGTGTTTATTTTTCCAAAATGTTGCTTTTCTCTCTAAAATTTAAGCTAGACTTATCTGACAAGTGGAAATAAATTGAAAGGGACTTTCTTGAATCTGTAATTTCCCATCTTAGTGTCTGACAGCCTGTCAGAGAGAGGCCACCTCTAATTGGAGGGTTCAGAAATATGTCCGCTGTTTTACTAGTGGATATGTAGACAGGAAGGGAGGAGTCATAAATAGATGATCATTTAGTGTCCACAAACCTAATCATGAACAAACAAACAAAAACAAACCCTCAAAACATTGAATTACAACTGCTAATAAAACCTAAAACCTTTACAGTCTAATGAGCCATTTTTCACCCCAGTTTGGCAAATAAAACTTGTTCATGTTGCGTAAACTTTTGAAAGGAGATAACTGGACTTTTTTGCTAAATATCTACAAAATAACTTTTTATTTCATTAGGTTTAAAACTAAAACATGAAAAAGTATTTGAAAAAACGAGAATGGACTCTTTTTCTTTCTATGGGATTTTGATATTTTAGAAAATTCAATAATAAAAAAAAAATTAAATAAGTTTTCACCCAAAATACTAGGCCTAATGTTTGAGATTCAGTGTGTTAATTCAATTCAATTAAGCCTTGTAATAATTGAAGAACCATTGATGCAGTGCCTGCTTTAGTTATTTATCTATGTTTTAAAGAAAATGTTTGGTTCTTTATTTGTTGGGGCTGAAGTCTTTGATAAAGGTCCAAAGAGGATCTTGCAGGTCTGTAGTTTAGGTGGGTGTGAAAAAATAAGGCTGATTGTGGTTAAACTGATTCAGATTCCCTTTAAAAGATCTTTGTTGCCACCCAGTGGTTTGTCTAAACATCACAGATATTACAAGTTTTTTTTTCAGAAATCAGTAGCTGGTTTAAAGAAGAACATGTGGAATAGAAGATCCTCACAATAAATTAATAAAAATCATATTTTCATTGCAATCATAAAAATATTTGAACTAAACAAACTATATTCTTAAATGATGTTGATTACTAGAACTTGAAATCTGTCTGCATGTTGTTGTTTTTTAAAGTGCCACGTTGTGTCTTTATGGCCGTGGATAAACTGGATTTAATTACATGCTATTAAAATTATGTGAGATTAACTGGATTTACTGCACACACAAAAAAACAACGATGTCACTATGTATTTATTTATTTCATTTTGAATGAAACAACTCTCCATATGTCTCAAGATGCAATTTTCATTTATTGCTGATTTAAATACTAGTTCCATAAAATCTCAGTATAAATAAATAAATCTTTTTTCATTTAAAGAAACAAATATTATAAGCATGTATCATATTTTGTTTCATCTCTGCTAAATTTAAACATTAAAAACACAAGAAGAAAGTGACAGAATTATTTATTCACTGCTGTAGAGTCCGTTATTGTTTTTATGTAGCATGCTGCCACCTCCTGGACAATCAGAGGCATCACAACAGAACCTGGTATTCCTGTCCTGCAGACTGTAGTTCTGGGTTCTGCTTTGTTTTTGTAGTGGATAAAAAGTCTTTAACATCAAAGATGATGTATTCTTCGTATGCAAATATTTGATTTTGGTAAAACGTGGTTATATATATTATAGATTCTTTTTTAGTCATGTTTTCAGACATAGTTATTAAGCCTATAGCCACTGCTGGAAAGAGAGCAAAGTGAAGGTGCACGATTATCCTTCAGGGCCTCATGTGGCCTGTACAGTGGAGCAGGGAGGTATGTGTTGTTAAAGGGAGGTGGAGGGGATGAAGGTTGACTCATGTGCACATGGAGGGGACCCTGCGATCTCTCTCTGCCAGTGCCACTGCTCCAGCAAAGCACAGACCCACCGATCAGACTGAGGAAGGACGAAGTGTAGCCAAGATACACAGCCAAGCCGATCTCATACTTCATCCCACTGGCATAGAAGGGATTGTAAAAATCCAGGATCACATCGTTGGTGGTCCAGGCAACTGTGATCAGGCAGAGGAGGCCGGCGCAGAGGAAGCCGACCCCTCCGCTTAGCAGCAGGGGTGATTTGACCACTGAACGTTGAGCAAAGTGGGTGCATTTCATCCCCATCACAGCAAACACAGATGCCAGGAATGAGGAGATGCAGGACAGCACCATAAGAGCCCGGGCAGCCTACAAGATAGGAGAGCAATTCACATGAATAAATATAATAAAACATAGACTCAGATTTAACACTGGAATACAGCATCTTCCTAAATAACTGCAAAAAATCTTCATGGGAGGAATTTATTTGATCCTATAAATGTAAAACAACAGTTTTCTGTTGCTTTGATTGGAAGGGAAGGAATCAATGAGCAAAGACAACAAATGAGTTGTTCAGTGAAGAGCCTGCAGCAATACCTAAACAAAGCAACAACACCTAAAACCAGATGCTTCATATGGTTTTCAGTCAGTTTAGCTGGATAAAAGCAAATCTAGGGACTAATTCATCCAAACAATAGACATGTAAAAGCCTCATCCTGCAGGCTTTTAGTCTTCTTTATTTCCTTCATGTTTGAATTTAATATAAAGTCTGCCAGTAACCTAGCTATATGTGATACTTGGGAAACATCTTAAACTCATCCAGAATGTTTGTATGTTTAGAATAGAATAAAATAGAAAATCCCTTTATTGTCCCACAATTGGGAAATTCTGGTGTTTATGTGATGTTCAAGTTGTAAATATCAGATCACACTGAAAAAAAAAAAAAAAAAAATAGCCCATTTATCCAGAGGTGAAAAAGTCCAACATTAAGAAATCACTGATTTCACACTTATTCAGCAACACATCCATTAAGCAAACTTGACCCAAACATTTCAAGTTAAGCATATTTACAATCATCATATACAAATGAACATACAGTAATGACTTCCCTGGTAGATTTGCCTTTTAAACTGTGTGACTTGTGTCATCATTTGAATTGTCTTCATAACTTTTGCCCATTCTTCCAAAAATCCTATATACCTGACACAGGTTCATTGGCTGTCTTACACGTTAGCAAATTTTACAGGTCTTTATAAAAAATGCTGATATGGGGCAAAGGTCAAAGCTTTGTGACGGTCGGGAAAACATTGTTATTTCTGTCATTTAGCCATTTTGTGACAAATTTATGGGTGTTCTATCCACGTATCAAGAGTTTTGAAAACATGGCTTCCCTGCATTGCATTCTGGGTCGCTGGGCCCTAAAGGGTGAGCACCAAATCACAAGTTTACATCGTCCATCTTTGAGAGAAAAGTATAATAATGCATATAATCTGTAAAGTAATTAGTGTTTGCTCATAGATGGTAGTGCTGGAGCACATCTAGTGATTTTTGCCAAACTTAAAAATGCAATCTTTTCAAGATGGTAAAAAAAAAAAACACTGCACATTATTGTCCATCATGGTTGATGTTTTTCTTCTCTAATCTGCACAGCAAGACACAGAATAGTGACCTTTATTAAGTATCAATGACGTTCAGGTCGGATGAATGCGACCTCACCGTTCAGACACAGGTCACATATGAAAAGATTAGATTCGTATCGGATTCAGGACCAAATAGCCGAATGGTCTGGGTCTCATTGGAAAAAAATGGATCTGTGTTGTGCAGACTGCCATGAAAATATCAGATACAGGTTGCATGAGAGCAAAAAAAACAGAATTGGGTAATTTCAGGCTGTCGTGTGAAGACAGAAAGATTTCAAATTTAAAAAAAGTTCTGTCAACGGTGGAACCTGAAGTGCCTGGGGGCAAAGGTCATCTTGCCTCTAGAGAGTTTGCTACTGCAGAAATGGGTATAAATGAACTCTTGAATACTAATGAAAAGGCATAAGATAAAGTTTGGCAAATTTTAACTTAACAAAACAGTGCTAAAGAGTAAAAATTAAACTTTGCTTTTTTGCTTACCTTTTTAAGAATGTATTTAACAGGAACCTTTCAGAGGAGAGCTAAGCTTTCTTCAGTCTTATATCTTGCTCCAATATGCTTCCATGAAAGCTTATTTTCTTATGAAATCATCTGTTTGTAATGATATCCAAAAAACTTGATGTTTCAAACCTGCTTCAAGATTGTGAGGATGTCAACTAGTGTGCATACTTCCCCTGTTTCCCTACACATGTATCAATGTTCATTATGGTCAAACAAATTAAATTATGTGATTTTCCTTGCATACAATGAGCCAGTTTTTCATTTTCTTTGTGGGCTAACATTTTTTTTCTTTTCTCAGATTTAATTTGCAATCCTTGTCAACACAGTAATCTTCTCATTGTGGGTAATGACTCCTTTACCAGCTTCAGGCACCATCTTCACAAGGGTTTTTTTCTTTTGTTCTGGATTTAATCTCTGCATTTTTCACCAAAACACTTTCCTCTCTGGGACACAGAGCCCACCCACTTCAAGAGGTCACTTCCATGATGTTTATGTTTGTTTGAAAAGAACATCATAACTTCTTTGTTATATTTGTTGTGTTTTTGTTGTCTTTCTTTATTTGAATGTGTCTTATAAATCTATGAGAAGCTGAAAATGCATCTATCTATCTATCTATCTATCTATCTATCTATCTATCTATCTATCTATCTATCTATCTATCTATCTATCTATCTATCTATCTATCTATCTATCTATCTATCTATCTATCTATCTATCTATCTATCTATCTATCTATCTATCTATCTATCTATCTATCTATCTATCTATCTATCTATCTATCTATCTATCTATCTATCTATCTATCTGAGAAGAAATTCTCTGCCATGTTCTTGCCTTTAGCATGGAGAACCAATTAAAGTAATCCCAATCGGCCTCAACATGAAAAAAACTTGGCCTGATTTTATGTCAGACAAAGGGGACAAAGTGTCTGTGAGTCTTTTTGCATAGTGTTGGTCAAAACTGGCTGTCTGTTGTATATAATTTACAAATAGTGCAGCGCGCTTCCTAACATAACATCAGGTAATGGATAAACATTCAGTACCTGCAGGTCATGGGGCAGAGCCAGCAGAGATCTGTACAGCTCACACTGGTAAATACCCGTGCTGTGCCAGACGCACTCCATCCACAGGCCTTTCATGTAGGCAGTGACTGTGATGATGTTTGAACCTGTGTAGGCTGTGCTGCGCCAGTGGGGGAGCAGGGTTGCGACTATGGTTCCTGTAAAACCCAACAGTCCTAAGAAGAATCCCAGGAGCTGAACCGCCATGCTGGCCATGATTGGTTTGCTGGAATAGAAGCTGGAAATGAAAAATACAATATTAGACGTTGAAATCAATCAGTAGGAGGAGATTTATGCTATTGTTTGGATTATGATCTTGATTTCGTTATCTCATAGAGGGATTTTTTTTTACACACATTGATTTAAGATGAGAAAAACAGCTAGAATACATGATGGAAAAAATATTGTCCAGCAAAAATGAAGATGCACTCAATACAAGATTACATACTGTTCCCCAGGTGGAAATATGGTCAGGATTACTCCTCTTATCGTCCCCGGAGCAGCAGCATATTCTTCCGAGTTTACATCCAGTCACGGAGCCTGAGCCATTCCTCAAGTGTCTCTCCAGAATGTGGGTAGAAATAGCTGTGGAAACTTTCAGCGCTCCGGCATGGGTCTCTGGTGAGTGGCAGGCGGCTGCATGTGTGACTAATGAGAGCAGCGTTCAGCTTCACCAGGTAAACACTCTCTCCTCTGGAGGGGCCAAACCGCAGCAGTCTATTTGTTAAGCTCTTCGCCACACCTCATGAAATAGAGGAGAAAGTTGAAATTAAACATTTACAGAGACAACTTGAGCTGCAAGCACAGATTTAAGACAGTAAAAAGATTTCAGTGCTCTGCAGGATGTTGGAAGGCGACGGGGTGAATGATCTTCAGACAGGCTCTAACTGCTGGATCCAGAACTACTGTAGGATAATAAGGAGAGCAGTTGCTTTCATATTGGGTCAGTTTGGCTTATTTCCAATGTCTATGCTGAATCTCATCTGCAGTAAACCTCAGTTATACATTTACAAACCAAGAATTAAAAATATTCCAACTTGCTGCAGGCGACAAGTGAAAATGACTTCCCTAAAATTACCAGAGTGCACCTAATGATTTACGTTTGTTTCCTCTTATGTTTACAACTAAATATTATAAAAATGTGTCAATTATTTCAGTAATATTGATAGAAAGCTCCTTTTTCCCCAAATACAACACAGAGGAAGCCAGAACAAAACTCATTGTCCTGACTTCCTCACAGAACAAAGGCTCTTTGTAAAGCCTGGTTATTCTGTCTGTGTTAGAACTGGCACTGCTTGGATCTTATAAAATCTCAGTGACACAAGCCCTATTGTCCCTACTTAATGATTAACTACACCGAGGGCATGGAAGGAAATCATGAGGAACAAAAGCAAAGCTGTGTCAAGCATATTGTCTTACTTTTAAATTGTGAGTTTTGCCTGCTGAAGCCACATCCACATTTGCAAGACTGTTGGTGCTATTTTAACCTCTTGCAGTCCAACCACAAACTTCAATTTGATGTACTTGGAAAGGCCATCACAAAAAACAAAACATTTATAAATGAGAAACGAAGGGAAAATCATAGATTTGCACAAATACATTTTTAAAAAGTCTGGCTTGGTTTTATATTTAGCCTTCTTTTACCCTTAAATCACTCACCCAACTAAAAAACAAAGGTAATCTCTGTGTGTTTTTAGCTTTCTGAGGTAACATGGGTTCAACAAATAATCTTGAAGGTTGATAAAAAAAACAATCAATGTTGTAGAATTCTGACCCTGCATATCACCCTGAATACATGATAGTCATGGTGAAAAATTATGGTGGCAGCATTGTGCTCTATTTTGCATGAATAAGGAAGCTAAACAGGTTTTATAGAAAGATGGATGGAGATAGACATTGGCCAGTCATGAAAGAAGAAAAAGTCTTGAAACTTGGGCAGAGATTCAATCTCCAGTACTGAGGCATCACTTAAAATACAGACCTAGAATGGTGTTAAAGGTATAGTGGAGGATGTTTTTTTTCCATGTGGATCATCAAAATAAGTGGTCCTCCTAATTGTCAATCATTCTGGTGATATGTTTACGTAAGGATTTCCTACGTGCTCGTCACCATTTTCACTGACCGGTGGTGAGTCTGACATAGCGGGAAAATTACAAATCTTTTGGGAAGTAAGCTTGTATGAGTGATGCAAACAGAGACTTTTAAACAGAGTGTGCACAAGGAGAAATGGGCTCATGCACGCTCTTGCACGTGTTTATTTGGCATTCCTTCTTGGAAGCAGGTACAGGGTTGTGCATGTGCACTTTTTTTGGAGAGGGCAGGTCTTTTGAAAAATTTGTGAAAATCCTCCACTATACCTTTAAGTAAAGATAAACGATTTTGCCAAAAAATTCAAAATTGCGATTATTTTCAACCAATATCACGACTCAGATTTAAATACGATGTTCCTTTGCATCAACCACAAACTTGTTGATTTGTTTTCACTTCAGGGTTTCAGTTTCTTCGTGACCTTGAAAGCTTGCTTGTCCAGAATTCATTGTTGCAGGAATTCACTGTAACTTTGTGTGAAGAAAATGCTTACTTCTATTTGCATGCATGAATGTGAATGTAGCTGATACTCTGTCTGCCTTTTTGTGTTGTGGAAAACCCGCTTTAAGCGTATCACTGCCAATTTAATTTTAAAAATGTGTTTTGTTAAAATTGCAATTCTATTGTAAATGCAATTAAATGTCCAGCCCTTGTTTTCAGGAATATTTTTGGTATGAAGCCAGCTTTTTAAAGTAAAGACCTAAAACTGACAGATATTCTAGTGCCATACCAACCCATTAAAATGACACAGCTAGAGCTATTTTTCAAAGATCAAATGACACAGATTTAAATCTGAAATTGTATAATACAGACTTTTTTTCTGATTAGAGATTTAGATTTTTTGTGCCATGTTTAACAAATTTAAATGTGGCCGCCATATGTTTTCCTATGCAATGGAACCCTGATTAAATGCATTGAAGTTTGTGGGGATTTGAAAAGACAAGTTTCAAGGTTATCAAGATGTTTGAAAGGCATGTTTAGCTTTAATCTTCTTTTTTTTTTTATGGAAACCTCCCTTTATGTGGTATTTATAAGGCTACAGATTACTATGTGACCCTTGGATAGGAAAACCTAACCTAACAACATATCCATGGACTGTAAGCGATGAGACAGGCCAGTTTTAGATATAATCAGCTTGATCAGCGACATCGTTTCCATCAATGTCAGATACATCGAGCAGATAAACAGCGCTGATGTGAAATGTTGAGCTGGAGGCAGACAATTGTTGCTGGTCAGAGTCAGACAGAGTACATGCTGTCTTCACTTGTTTGATTTTTACCTCAAAAACTTGGCAGTGCATTTAACTACTATATAAAATGCAACAAAAACATGATTGAAAGAATAATGTTTAGCTGACAGGAAGTGGCATTTATCAAGTAAAAATCAACACAGTCAGCACAGGGGAACAGAGCACGGGGCAGCAGTTCCATCTGATTAAATGCATTGTAAAGCGAGTAAGATGAGATCAATGAACCTGGCGGTTTCACCTCAATCCTTTAAGGTCCAACTTCTTTCCGCTGATCGTCCTTCTTTCTTCGCCTGTGTCCCAAGTGTACACCACCGTGAAATCCTGTTGCTGTACAAGAGCATTTTCCCAGCAATTGCCTCGGGTCCCTCATGGAGTATTCGTCTTTCTGTGTGATCCCTGCGGTGGAGGGATCATCCTCTCCAAGGTCTGCCTGTGGGAGACGCCATTTGAATGTGGAACACTTAATAGTCTTAGTTAAACAGAATAATCCTGTGATTAGTGGCTGAGCATAGTGGGTCTGCTTCTCACTGCACTTGAGGCTAACTGCAACACTGCTGTGATGAAGGTTTAAATGGCTGCAGGGCTCTGAAAAGTTCCACTTCATTCTGTACTAAAGACCCCTGATCAACAATGCATCTACCAAATAAATTATAAAGTCATCAAGACATTAAGGTCATATTTTTAGTCAGTCGAACATTGTAAAAAGGTAAGGTAATTAATCTTTATAGGTCAACCTACTGTTTAATTATATCACTGTATTATTGTATAAATTAGGACATTGTGAGGAATGTACAATCCCAAGCCTATTGTTTTTAAGGCGGCACAGAAATGCATAAGACAAAAAGTAAACAAAGAAACAGTTTCTTTTCAAATACATTAAGAGGGTCATTTTTATTAAGATTTGATGTTGTTCCAATGAAAAATGTTTTATTTTTGGCTTGAAAATGTAAATTCTACGTTACCTAAAATAAAACACCTTTCCAATGGGAAAAAAAAGTAACTGAAGTAATTAGTTGTTAAATAAATCAGGAATATTTTTTTTACTTTGTATGTATGTCTGCTCCAGCACATATCATCATTAGAATATATTTTAATATCGTCTTCAGTACAGGGATCATAACAGGGGCCACAAACAGTTCAGTTCTACAGGGGCACTGGCCCCTGGTGGCCCCTGTCTATAACTGCTCATTCTGACTCAGTTATTAAAATTCAAAACTTTGATTGAGGTTATAACAACTATTGAATCGTAAGTCATATTCATTTCAATTTGATGATTTACACTGAATTTCAAAAGACATGGGTTGGAAATGCATCATTTGGACTTTGGACATAGATATGATTTTAATGACAGAATCCCATAATACCCTTTTCGAACATTATAATTTTTAATCCAAACAATCAATTTCATAAGACTTCAGAAACCACAAATATAACCTTATTAGCTCACAATTATGACTTTGAAACTATTAAACAGAGGTGGCTAGTAACTAGTTAAATTTACTTCAGTACGTTTTGGGAAAAAAATTGCTATTGGGAGTAATTTTATAGCATTCTACTTTCTTCTTTTATTTCAGTATAAATATGAAAAAGTATCACTACTTTTACTTGATTAGTAAGTGATTCACTGAATAAAAACAAGCTTGTTTTAAACAAATATGCACAACTGAGAGACACACTTTCTTCTTTTTTTAACACAATGCTTATTGATTAAATGTTTTTTTTTCCCATTTGCTGAGTATGTCATGTAATTTGGATGTCTAGTGAGAATACATTAAAAAGTTTACTATGATTTAACCAATTCTATATACTGCAATTATTGATTTTGTAACTCAAAAAATGTACTTGAAACGTATTTAATCCACCTACATTTGTTATTATATGATTAATATATGTACTGCATGCTTATTTATCTTTATCCAATTCTTTGAAAGACCAGAATTTGTATATAATTTTATATTTTGTTTAATTTTATAAAACATAAAATCAGTTTTTATCACAATAGGTACTCAGTACTTCAGGAGCATATTTAAGCAAATGATTTTGACTGAAAGTCGAAAATATGACTTTGTTTCTCATAATTCTGACTTTGAAAGTCGAAATTTTGATTTTGTTTCTCATAATTATGACTTTGAAAGTTGAAATTCTGACTTTCAATGTTGAAATTATGACTTTGTTTCTCATAATCCTGACTGAAAGTCAGAATTAGGACTTATATCACAGAATTATCTCATAATTATTACTGAAAGTCAGAGTTAGTATCTCATAATTATGACTTTGTTTCTTATAATTCTATCTTTGAAAGTTGAAATGATGACTTTGTTTCTCATTATTCTGACTTTGTATCTCCTAATTGTCACTTTGAAATTATGACATTGAATCTCATAATTATGATTTTCTTTTTGACTTTTTTCACTTTCATGTGGCAGAAACGGGCTTCCATAGCCTACTACAAATAAACAAGTTTTGAAATATTGTTTTCAATCATGATTTAAAATTTGATTCTATTTTTCAGGTGGCAAAAATAGGCTTCGGTATAGATTAGCTTTCATGCCAAAACGTTTACTAAATCAGAATATTTTTAAAAATGTAGACCTTCATAATTCATAAGGTATTAACTTGTGTTAGTAGCGGCTAACATGATAGTCAGTCATTTTCGCGCCATGGCGCCTGGGATGTAAAACCAGATAGCAGCTTTAGCTCTCCTGACTTCATTACCGGCTATTTCTATAAAACAGGTGATATTATTCTGAATGTTAACCGTGTTTCCCTATACCTACGAGTCTCACCATGTGGCGTTATTAACCCTTAAAGCGAATAACCTCTAATGTTTCATGTAGAGTTTAGTTTAGTTAATGTTGCTAGCTTATTTTAACGGTGGAACTCCCGATGCTGCGTAGCTAACTTTTTAAAGTTATTCAAACTCGTTAGCTTTAATGTCATTAAATTATTCAGACGCAGTTATATAATCGGGGATAATGATGGTGAGAAACACAAGCAGCGACAACAGGTATTCATGTACCCGCAAGTCCCGTCGTTTGATGACAGCGCAGCAGCATCGGCCGGTAACCCGCAGCCATCCGGCCTCCACCGCGGGCTGCTTCACCGGCCTGCCCGCTGAGGTGCTCCACATGATTCTGGATCAATTAAGCAGTGGGTATAACACTCTAAACCCATGATAGTAATACCTAACATTTATTCAGTGCGTGATTAAATGTATTAAGGCGTTAAAATAAATAAATGTTTATCTAATAATGTAAAACTTAAGAGCACATTCTTTGAAAACACAGCCATAGCCTACAGGTGCATTTAACTTAAGTTGCTACATGATCACAAATGTGTTATATGGCAGGAATTTGATTCATTCACTAATATAAGATTATTAAAAGAGATCAATTAATGGTATATAATTAATGCAGATGTGGGTCAGGAGGGTCTTAGCTGATTGTGCTGATGCCCTATGGCACTCAGTGAAATACTTTGAAAATAACACTATTGGCTTGAAAATCCAAATTTCAAGCCAATAGTGTTATTGGAATCCAGGACAAGACCTTATGACTTTTATAACGATAAAAAAATATGGATATTTTGATGGAAAATATGTATGTCAATGTAATAACAAGAAACGGCAACTTGCCTGAATATATTAAGAAAAATAACAAAAGTGCTTTTTTAAGAAATTCATGAAAAACTATGGAAGAGGATTAGGGCCACTGAAAAAATATAAAAAAGGTAACTGATTTTAAAATATTATTTCAGTTTAATATGTGAAAAAAGTCAGAATTCTGACTTTACTCTCAGAATCCAGACTTTTTTCTCAGAATTCTGACTTAAATCTCAGAATTCTACGACGGAGTATAGGGGCCACACATGAAGAGAAAAAATATTTTTGCCATGACGAGATTAAACTCGACATGTCGACTTTAACATTAAACTCCACATTTTGAGATTAAAGTTGAAATGTCATGTTGAGTTTAATCTCAAAAAAAGAATTCTGACTTTAACCTCAGAATTCTGACTTAAATCTCAGAATTCTAATTTTTTTTCTCAGAATTCTGTTTTCATCAGAATTCTGACTGTTTTTCTTAGAACTCTAACATTAATCTGAGAATTCTGACTTTAATCTCAGAATTCTGACTTTAACCTCAGAATTCTGACTTAAATCTCAGAATTCTAATTTTTTCTCTCAGAATTCTGTTTTCATCAGAATTCTGACTGTTTTTCTTAGAACTCTAACATTAATCTCAGAATTCTGACTTTAATCTCAGAATTCTGACTTTTTTTTCTCAGAATTCTGACTTCAATCTCAGAATTCTGACTTTTTGTCAGAATTCTAACTTTAATCTCAGAATTCTGACCTTTATTTCTCAGAATTCTGACTTTTTTTTCTCAGAATTCTGACTTCAATCTCAGAATTCTGACTTTTTGTCAGAATTCTAACTTTAATCTCAGAATTCTGACCTTTATTTCTCAGAATTCTGACTTTTTTCTCAGAATTCTGAGAAAAAAGTCAGAACTGTTACTTTAACCCTCATCACAATCACACTGAGAGTGAAAGAAACACATTTTTTTTTTTTGGTCCAATGTAACCTTTGAGGCATCAATGCTGATACTGGCACATATTTTAGTTTATAGACCTAAATATAGTTGTTATCTAGGCTTATTAACTTTTTATCTTTTCAGTTAGCTTTTTACCTTTTTTTCTTAACTTTTTTTCCCAACTAAGTCTACAGTAGGTAATATATAATTCAAGGGCTCATCTAATTGATCAAATGCCAAAATAAGATGTACAGCCATGTAGCAGTATCTTTGCTGAATGGCTGGATATAGATCTTGTCCTAATGAGGGATGGGGGGACTCCATTAGTAAGGGGTATGCAAGTGATCAAAACCAGTAACTTTCCCTATAAACGGTTAAGGTCCATGGTAGCTTTTTTGAAAGTCAGCAGTCCTTTGGGAGGCCATGTCATCAGCTGCTCTCGGTCCACAAGGTTTTATCAAGTTGAAATTTAACAAAGTCATCAAGTAAGTTAGAGAACCTCATGCTCCACTTTGCTGACAAGCTTCATGAAGATGTTGATCTAATTTTGAAGCAGGACTTGGCACCTGCCCACATTGCCCAAAGTACCAATATCTCATTACTGTGCTTGGCTGGCCAGCAAACTGCCCAGAACTACACTTCATAGATAATCCATGAGGTATTGTCAAGAGGAAGATAAGAACACCAGGTGCTTTACTTTGATCCTAAGATTTCTAGTATAAAAAAAAAAACATTAATATTATTGAATATTTTTGCTTGTTTAATTGCTGAAGATGAAATGCAAACAAATACAGGCTGATTGAAAATTAGACTTAGACAGATTTTATTTTGTCATTTTGTACAAACAAGTGTAAACAAAAGCTCTCTAGACTATTTCATTTGAAAGTACAGCCTTGACAAAGGTAAGCAGCTGTGATGAAAACATTGTGATGAAAAAAAAGTGGTGGTAACATATGACTGTATAGTTACAGTTCCAGCATTCAGGTTTTTCTTTTTTAATAGCCCATTTTACATAACATTTAGCAGTCTAATGGCAGTGGGGAAGACACTGTTCTGGAATCTGCTTGACCTGCATCAGATGCTTTGAAGTCAGAGGGTATAAGGGAGGACAGTCCATGTTCGTGGTGTGAAGGGTCATTGATGATGTTACGGGCTCGGGACATGCAGCGCTGGCATGAAATGTCTTTAAGGAAAAAAAAACTAAAATAAAATATGGAAAGTTCACTGCTGAGTTAGAGGCTTTCGTAGATTGCATTTGGATACTAAACTTTATATTTATAACCCTGCTTTTTTCTGCTTTTCCTAATGAAAGGGTTGAAATTGATCTCCTTTTTTAAGAAGTGTTAACCACACTCCTTAATTATTGTGTTTCATAATTTCTGCAACAAACAGACACTAAAGACCAACTTCTTCAATTTTTTATACTCAGCTTTATTAGAACTCAAAACTGCTGTGGAATCAAACTTTTTATGAAGATTTAATAGTTGGAATATCAGCTATGTTACATTTTCATTGATTGCTGTGAAATAGGGCTGACACTAACGTTTATTTTAGCGATTCACAATTAATCTGTTGATTAGTTGTTTGATTAAACGATTAATAATCGGATAGCAAAAGGCTTTTTGTGAAATTAAACAAGGTGAAACTAAAACTTTTCCACTTGAGTAGTGCTGGATAGAGCATATTGACATGAAAACAATTTATATATTAAATAAAAAATGTTTACATATATTTTTTTTTACAATCTTTGTATACAGTAATTACTGCTCAAAGCGGGTTTCCCTGTCAGCTAAAGGCACGGTTTAGTCTCTAAACTACAGTTAACGATTAATCGATTACTAAATTAAATGACGATTATTTCAATTATCAATTAATCTGAATAACTGTTTCGTTGCCCTTTGAATTGAGGTGCCCTCCCAAATGGGAATGTTTAGAATAAAAGCTAGTTTTTAAAAGTAATGTTCATCCTTTTGCAATTTTTATAATAAAACTTGAGGGAGAAAAAAATTGATTCATTAGCTTTGGTTGCAAAAAACTGGAGACTTGGTTTGTAGGCCATATTGTTCAACTTTATTGTCTTTGACTTGTATGTAATGCTATAGAAAACTATTATCCAGAATGGTGTCACAGTAGTGTTTAACATATAGTTTGAAATTCTTAAATTATTGCCTAAATTTTCCAGTAAAATGTACCTCTTTTATTAGTGAAATTACCTTTTGACAGACTTATGAAATATTTGTGTTCTGTTCAGTGGTAGATATCAGCGTGTTCAGCATGGTTTCCAAAGAAATCACCAGCTACATTGTGGACTACGTCTCCTCCCAGGCCTGGAGGAAGAAAAACCTCATCCAAAGCTTTCACGACCCCACATGTCTTGAACAAAGATCCACCCTGGAACATTACAGGCAGATGGGTAATTTTCTCAATTCTCATTTAAACTTGTCCCTCTTCGTTCTTTATATATCTTAAAAAAAAAAAAAAAACAATCTTTCTTAGCATTTTTGTACTGCATTGTTTACTTGTTCGAAAGTTATTAGCAGGGGGTCATTTTAAATGGCCTGCTGTGCCTGTGTGTTTCATATTCCAGGTTTGTTGTTCAAGAGGTGTACCATGTTGCTACCCACAAAGGACAGGTTAAAGTTCATATTTAGCAAGTTTTCACAGGTAGGAAAAAAAAGAGGTGAGAGGACATATAGTTGAATGTTAGTACAGCCAATGCCTACAACTACAAGCAAAGGTGTAAAAAATGAATAAAAAAACTGCAATAATCAATCAATATATCCTGTAGATAAGCATAACACTTAAGCTATAATGCAATTTAATGCAATGCTGGGGGATAACGGAGGTTGCTTGGTACAAAAGCAGTATGTAGCACAAAAAGAACGCCATACTTACAGTACGGTGGCAGCTTACTGCTCTGGCCTTGCTTCTCTTGCAACGGTAAACTATGTTTTTTTTTTTTTTCTTTTTTTCTTTTTTCTTAACGGTAGTTATACTTTATTTTTAAGCTTTTAAACACTGCAAAATGGGAAATATAACTGAAAATGTATTTGAATTCAGTTTATATTCCCTTGATTTGAGCAGGTAAGGTAATTTACCAATATAATAAGATGATTTATGTTTAAAATCAGAATGAAAAAAAACAACTCTACTATCTAAATCCAAGTGAATAATATCTAATTATTTTTATTTTAAGGACAAAAAGACATTACTTTGGCAGATTTTATTTATCCACTCAAAGTGAGGGAAGATACAGTTTTTCAATTTCTTTTTTCACCTCTTATCAGATCAGATTTTGCAGTTTATGTCTTTTTGGGTGTATTCAGCAGTGGGCATCATCTCAGAGGTAGCCCTTCAGAGCTCTTATGTGAAATGGAAAAAAAAAAAGCTTTCTGATTCTGTATTTTCAGTATAAGAAAGATATAGATAAATCTGACAATAGCAAAAATAGTTTAAGACTTTCTGCTGAGTAATAACAAAGCTTTCCAATAAAGCTTTTAATTAAAACTCCTAAAATGCTCCTATTGCTGTGTTCTAGATCCCCTGCTTCATGTTGGGGCACTGCACTGCACCAGCCTGCAATGGTTACTCCCGTTATGGTGTATTCCTTCAGGTGAGAGACTCATATGAGCACTAAAAAAAAAACAATAGCAAAAATATTCATGTCTTTGAAAAATATTTTTACATCCTGCTTTACATTTTGCTAAAGTGATATGCTAGTGTATAGTGGCATGTGTTGCCCAAAGGTAAGGATTTCACATCATGTTTATGCTGTATCATGCACCTTCATGCTGGAATTAAACAGCCTTCAGCGTTTATGCTTCACTGCAAAAATGCTGAAATCCAGATTTTTTGTTTTTAAAATCAAGATGAAAAACCCATTTGTTTATGCATGTAAAGCACTTTGAATCCTGTTACGGAAATGTTGTGTACAAATAAACCTGTCTTGTTGGAGCGACATGATCATTATGTTTTCATACTGTTTGCTTCACAGACCCTGATCGCTGGATGGGATGAGCTGGAATGCCACAGGGTGTTCAACTTTTTGTGCAACCAAACAAACTTCTTGTTAAAGACTGAAGCATTGCTTACCTTAAAGCCAGGTTTGTGTACCTTACTCTGCAAAAAAAAACAAAAAACTAAATAAGTCCCTTTTTCTTAAATATAATGATTTTTTTCTTGAACTAAGGAGGAAAGTGAGAAATTTTGCCAGTGGAACAAGATAATTTACATTTAAAATAAGAAAAAAACAATTGCATTGGCTTATTTCAAGTGCATATTATCTAATTATCTCATTTTAAGAGTAAAAATACACATCCCATTGGCAAATCATCTTACTTACCAACTAAAATTAAGGGTAAATACACTTATTTTAAGAAGTTTTGACTTATTTATAGTTTTTTTTTCCAGTGGTATGACTTGTGCCTTGTATATAATCATAGAATTGTTACACATAGAGTAAGATAAGCCTTTGTTTCTTGTCTTTTTTAATTATAATGTCTTAAAGATAATAAAAACTAAAATTTGCTGTCAGAGAAAGTTAGAATACTGGAAAAGGTACTAAAAACCTGTGTTGTTCCACTCTATCCAGGTAATTAACTCGAAACTCCTGTAAAGGCTTCCTGTTTTTATTTTTGGGTCAGTAGGTTACCCTGGAAAAACCTCACGCTGCTTTTTCACACAAGCGCAGAAGAGATGATTTTACTCCAAAAATCTGTACATGGATGCAAATGCAGAATGGGACTGAATGAGATTAGTTTCAGTATTATCTGATCAGGCCTTCAAACCGATTATTTGTGTCGTTGTAAAAGTAGTTAATGAAAGCAGTTGGTGGAAACAAAGTGTTCCACCGATGGTCATCTGATGAATTCAATAATTTTTCAGGTTATTTTGTTTTGGACCATCATGCTCGTTAAGTCAAGTGCAGACAAATGTGCGCTTCTTTACCTGCTGTCTGATCCATTTGTCTTTTTTTCTGCCAGTGAGCCTTGATAACTCGTCATAATCTGTCAAGTGCGTATTTTCCTTCATTTTTATTGTGTTGACGCATTTTGACGTGGTTAAACTCCGGGGTATTTTTCCATCACAAGATGCAGCTTACGTCACAAAAGTTTCACATAACAGTGTTTAGTATTTGCTGCCTTAAGCTGTCTTAGTATGAAGAAAATGTGGTGATGTGCTGCACATGGGGCCTCTGCAAGCTGCAAACTAAGGGATAAAGGTGATCGGTTTTTGTGATCAGCACTGAGATTCGGCGATCATTGATCTCATAGTTTTTTTTCCAAAAATTATCTGATTATGATCAGGTGCCAATCGATGGGCAAACCACTAAAACACTCCTCCAACTAATAGGACTAAATGATAACTTAACAGCAGGTTTCAACTGTGACTCATCAATAAGTACAGTACTTCTAAAACTGCTCACTTTGAACTTTTATACATTCAAAACCATAAACTTCCATCCATCCATCCATTCATTTTCTGACACGCTTAATCCCATGTGGGGTCGCCAGGGGTGCTGGTGCCTATCTCCAGGCAAGAGGCGGGGTCCACCCTGGACAGGTCGCCAGTCCATTGCAGGGCAACACAGAGACAAACAGGACAAAGAGAATTTAGAGAAGCCAATTAACCTAACAGTCACGTTTTTTTGGACTGTGGGAGGAAGTCGGAGTACCTGGAGAGAACCCACGCATGCTGAGGGAGAACATGCAAATTCCATGCAGAAAGATCCCGGGCTGGGAGTCGAACCCGGAACCTTCTTGCTTCAAGGCAGCACTACCCACTGTGCTACTGAGCAGCCCAACCATAAACTTGAATTTGTTTACTTTGATTTAAAATAAATGATGATTCAAAGGGTGATTTAATTGTAAAGTGAAAGTAAAAAAACAAACATAAAAATTCTGTCCCTTTTAATCCGATGCTCCTTAAATCCAGTCAGTTTTTTTCTATCAGAAATCATCTAGTTGGTGCCTTGCAGTATAGATCCAGCTCTGATGTGAAGGACCCAGAGGTTTATTGCTGAAAAATTGGAGATCAAACAGCATCATAAAGACTAAGTAATAATGCAAACTGGTCAGAGATGAGGATTAAAGCAAAGTTACCTTATAAAACTTTATTTCAGGCTGTAAACTTCTCACAGAGCCTGGCGTAATCCATCATTTGGAAATTGAGAGAGTATAGCCCGACTGCAAACCTATCATAACATGGCCACCTAAACTGACAGGCTTTGGAAGGGGAGCATTAATCAGAGGAGGCCCAGGGTAACTGTGGAGCAGCTAAAGAGATCCACAGCTTTGACGGACAAATCTGTTGACAGGACAACTACTAGTTGTGTGATCCACAAGTCTGGCCTGTGTGGAAAAGTGCTAAAGAGAAGACTGTTATTTAAAGAAAACCAGAGGAAGTCCTGTTAATGGTTTTACAGGACCATTGTGGAAGGCAGCAGTCTTCAATCTGGGAAGATTGAAATGTTAGGGCAGGGGTCTTCAATGTTTTCCAGGCCAAGGACCCCCAAACTGAAGGCGAGATAGAACGGGGACCCCCTAATTATATATATTGTATGGAATTGTGTTCTATCAAACTGATTCTATAGTCACTCTATTACAGATGGAGTAATGTAACGAAAGTAATTTCTCCCTGGGAATATTAAAGTATTTCTGATTCTGATTCCTGGTTGATGGGACAGGTGTTGTGAATGAAACGGTGCCCATTGATGACTGAAAAGACATCTTCTGCCTCCATTTATCTGTTTACTACAGTGTGTTGAATTCATGTTAATGTGTATTTAAAGACATTTCAATTAGTAGAAAAAATTGCAGGGAGGTATATATAAAAAAAAGTTGAATCAACCAAAACTTTCGTGACCCCCATGCAGTACCTCAGTGGACCCCCTGTTAAAGACCTCAGTGTTAGGAAACCTCCATCTGCACATCATTTTGAACAGACCATCGTCATGGTGACAGATCACTGGGACAGTATGAGGCTGTGGGGAGTGGCTTATTGAGCAGGCATAGGGAAACCGCTCATCGCCACTTAATTGTAAAATATTTCACCTTACACTTAATATTTATGTAAAAGTTTTGTCATAATCTATCTCAAAATAACGATGGCATACATTGAATTAAGTGGTGTTCATTTGGTAAAAAGTGAAAAGGGCAATAGGTTTCCTAAAAAAAAATAGTAAATCTGTTTCTTCTCAGGGCTGATGCCGTACCAGGAGTACCAACTTCGTTTTTTTTGCCGTAAAGTTTTGTTGGACCCCTGCCAGAACCAGCCAGATGGACAGTTCTGGTTAGTTCAGCTGCTGAAGCCTTGGCCCATGGTCAGACAGGCCCACCTACTGCTCATCCTTTATGGACCTGTGCTGCATGACGGTGAGGTCGCTTTGAAAAAAAAAGATGCTTAAAAACCTTCAGCGGGCGCTGACACTTCTAGGTCACATCAGGCTGTTTTTTTGGCAAAAATGCTGCAATGTACCTCATACAAGAGATTTAGTAGTTTAAAATATATATAATAAATAAAATAAGGTTTTAAACATACCCAAAATACTTTGTGACAAAAAAGTCCTGTTTATTTTCTGATGTTTTTAAAATACTGTAAATTGGTTAAGTTACCATAGCTAAATATTTTCCAATGTAACGCACAGATAGTAGAAAAAATTCCTAAAAAAACGTAGCAGTGATACAATAATTCACATAAAAAAAGAAACTGGGTTTACTGACTGAAAAGTGACTCCTCTGTGCAGGTTTTCTCGGCTGGCAGGATCTGGTGGAGAGGGGGCTACCTCACGCCTTCTTTTTGGATCTGGCTAAAGGGATCCTGATGCTCTTTGGTGCTCTGCAAGTCAAAGGCTGGAGCACCAACTCAATGATATCAGTCTTGGATGAGCTAATTGGTATTTTACTCCTGGCTTGATAACATTTTTCTGTGTTTTGGGCATACAGAGGAGATGAAAATAGTTTATATCGAGCATGTGAAACTAAATCTTTTTTTGCTCGTCGTCCAAATGAATTAAGGATTAGCTGCTAAAAATGAAATAATGTGAGCTCTGATTTCTTCCGCCTCCAGTCATTCCTCAGCCGTGGTATGTGGAGAATGTGGCCCGCCTTCTGGTACTGTGCGGCAATAACCTCTGCTACACTTTTCTGGCCAGTAAGGCCCTCAGTGGACGACTCAGAGAGATCTCCAGAATCATCATTCATATCATACTGGTGAGAACCATTGTGTCACTTTCGGCTAAACTTTGGTAACCTACATGTCTTTTTTAGACATTCTTATCCTTTAGACGAGAATGAAAATCTGAATTTGCACTCAGCATAATCTACTTTATTCGGGTCACCTTGTTAAAATCTCTTTATTGTGAGAACTATGAGAAAAGCTGATATAAAAACGACCTGGATCTATTATTTTGTAGCATCAGTCTCATCAGAGTGCTAGGCTTTAAAGAGCAACACAGCCTTCTCTCAGTGCTGGTTTGTTGTTGTTTTGTTGCCTCATCGTGTTCTGGCTCTTCAGGTGTGTTTCCCCCTGATATCTCCTAGATTTTGGTTTTCAGTGTTTTGATTTTTGCCTCAGTCACCTGTGGAAACATTAAATCTGGAAGCTCATCTCTGCATTTGGGTCCTTAAAAACCTTCACTCCTCCTGACATTCAGCGTATACCAGCGTTTTAGACTATTCTGGGACTTCGGCATACGCTGGCTAAATCATCAAGTGTGGCAGGGCCATTTGGTTAGTTAAATGTCAGTTGTTACTTTTTCTGTAATTCTGCCGCCCTACAGGAGACGTCCGTCATACTTAGAAAAAAGCTGCCCTGTTGCTCACAATCTAAGAAATTCAAATAAATGATTCTATCTTGATAACCAACAGACAAATGCTACCGGAAAAAAAAATCCCTCCTAACTTCTTAGTGTGTTATTTCAATGTTTAGTTTATTTGTTATTAAATAATGAATTCCTATGGCTACATTTCTGTTGTAAGAACTGTTAAATCGCTCTACCTTCTGCTTTGTATACACTTGTCCTTGTCCAGGTTTGCGAGAAGGACGGCTATAGCATGAGCTGGGTGGTGAAGCTGGTTCAACAGATCTGCAGTGTGTTCAGCACAGCACCTGAAAAGTTCAACTTCATCAAGCACCTGGAGAACATGTTCTCAGAGGTCACCAGAGAGTTCTTTGAGTTTTCTGCAGAAGGTGATTAAAAGTGGTTTTCAAATCACTGTTGTTTTTGACAGCCATCTTCGATTTAGTCTAAGTTTTCTTCAGGACGAAAACTATTGTTAGTTTTAGTCATTAGGATATGTGATAGTTTTTGTCATCTTATTGGTTAATATGGCAGACAGACAAGCTAACAATATGTACAATAAAGGAATAGTTTTAGACATTCAAGGTTTCCATTAAAAAGCAAACACTTCCTGATCTACTATGAATTACACATTACACAAAGATCAATAAAATCTGTATTGCTTCAAAAACAGCAAAGAACAAAAACATTAATCTTTCTACTTTGGCAATTTTGGCTTTATTTCTTCAAGTTGCCCCTTGGTTAAGCTGCTCAGGGGTCAAAGTAGATTTAAATTCAAAGGGGTCTAATATAAACAATGACACAGAGAACCTACATAATGGCCTTGTAATGCCATGCCAATCAGGACCTACATTTCAAGAATATCTGTGCTAATATGTTGAAATATTCAAATTAAACAGAAAATTTTTTAATAACAATACGAGGAAACATTTACATTATATTTAAATAGATAGAAACAAGAACCAAGAAAGAGAAATATTCAAAGATCTATATACCTTTTCATCTGGCTATTTATCCAAAAACAAACGGTATGCAATAAAATATTTGCTTTGGATATAATTTAGGGATTTCTTTTGGTAGAAATGAAAGGTTTAGCTTTACCTCTTGTGAGCTAGAAGAAATAAAATCCTGTTAGACAAAGGGATTTCTTACGTTTTGCAGAGGATGATCAGCCACATTTAGTTTATTAAGCAGTGAGGACAGGAAGAGCCATACCGCTGAGAGTGAACAATCAGTGTGGAGTGTAAAATGCAAACCTGGAGCAAAGCACGGGCAAACGCGCAAATCTGCACAAGCACAGCTGGAAGAGCAGAGTTAGTCAGAGTCGAGCGCGCAGCACCGGACCATTTCAGATTACTTTCACCCCTGCCTCTGCTGCCATGGTCCATCTGTGGTCGTGCAGAATGTGCACCGCTGCACGCCAGGTGGGCGGCAAGAGTGAACAGGACGCAGCAGCACGGCTGACACTGCTTACAGCTCAAATATGCATTTTAAACGTCTACCTGCTAACTTTTTTATTCTATTATAGTCTCGTCCCGTCAACAAAACCTCACACCCATGACTCGTCATCTCGTTAGTTAGCTCGTTAGATCTGGTTATTGTCATGAAAAAACGACATCGTCAAAAACGTCATCGTCATGTTTTTCTGCTCTATTTACATTGCAGTGTCCATATAATCTGTAAAACTCCCTGCATAATTATAATAAAGCAATTTATATGCATGAAACAAGTGGAGCAATATGGCAATTGCCATACTGCTACACTTATGAAAGTAAAATCTGTTGGGGTCTTTTTGGCATCAAGACAATTATTCTTATTGCCACATTGCCAGACAGGACACTGTAAAAACGTCATCGTCAACCAACACTTTCAAATTAATATAATGCTCTAGATGTAGGATATACCTTCAGAAATGGAAGCAATATTTGCTAAAGGTTTTTTTTTTTTTAAGTTAAGAAAATATTTTGTGGATGCGACTATAGAGAAACTTCTTTTATTATTTTTGTGTGCAACAGCTCAGACAGCTGACATTTACCTCCACCTCCTATTTTTCATTATCTTAGCAAAAACCTGTTCAGCCTAGGTGGAGTCGTTCTTGCAGAAGAGCTTCATTTGTCTCTGACTGGAACAAGCCATTCTTTTCTGCTTCACTTATGCTAATTCCCAATGGTATAATTGGACAGCCGCATTGAAATGAATTTATTCATGTGAATAAGTCCGCTGTTTTCCAGCAGAGAAAGCTGATAAGAAAGAATTATCAGAAAGCAGGAGAGATTTTTGGTCTAAATTTACTAGTAAATATGAAATAAAAAAGAACCTAATCATGAATGTGGTTTTCTAACTACTTTACACAAAAAAAAATATTTTAATTGACTTATTCGATCATAATTATTATTTTTTTTTTAGATGTCTTCTGTTTTACACAGTTATCTGAGTTTTGCATATGTTTGTGGGAGCAGTAATTGTTCCCCTAAGAGAAGGCTGTAAGAGGTTCTTAAGCATTTTAAATGCCATTTTCTGTCTCCAGGGAACAACTTTGAAGACAGAGAGACTTTCCAGACCTTATACATCCTCCTGAGCGCCAGCGCTAGCTTCCACACTAAACTGCTGCACAAGTTTCTCAAATAAAGCTGCACAGAGGGCAACAAATAAAAACAACTATGAATAATGGAGGGTTGTCCAGTGAAAGACGCCAATGCACCTTTTGCAGTAGTTATACAAAGAAAATGCCTTCAAACAAACCAATCCAAACCCCTGTATGCTGTTTGAAATGCTTTTGTTAAACAGTTTAGTTATTCCTAAAGCTGTCTGTTGAAATGTAGAAATGCGGTTCTAAACTCTGTTGAATGTTACATGATATGAATATTGTATATTTATTTATAAATTGTAAAATATTTAATTTTATTTATTTATTTATATATTCTTGTAATAAATGTGGTTTATACTGTTTTCTAATTATTCTCTTTCTTTGTCTGCTTTATTATTTTATAACAAACCAACAAACACTGAGCAGATGAGCTTTTATTAATTTCCAGTTTGTGCATCATTCAGCATCAACAGCAGCTTCAAACAAGGTAATTCAGTGACTTACATTAGTAAAATGTGTTAGAAAATAAAAAAATTGAAAAAAGCTACAACAGATTAAAAAAAAAAAATATTCAGAAAATAACCCAGATGATGATTCAGATTGCATGCACATTGTTTGTAAATACATAACAGGTATCTATGCAGGGATGCTTCAAATAATCAGCGGTCCAATTTAGATAACTTCTTTTATTGGTAAATAGATCAGTAAAAGTTCAGCTCAATATCAATGCTTGACTTTTTGACATTGAAGTTTAAGGCTTACAACATCAAGAGACATGAATAAAAAGCAAGTCGGATCCAGTTTTCTTGTCCCCCGTCTTCTGGTCATGCATGGTCACTCATTTGTTCATTGTTTTGATATGATCTGCAGGAAACAGGAACAGATTACTGCAGGGTCTGGTTGTACTTTAGCCTTTAATGATCTACTGAAAGAGTAGATTCACAAAGCTGAGCTGCTTCATGAATCATGAAGCTGAAAGACGAATATTTGTGTTTACAGAAGATTCTAAGGTAAAAGAAGCATGGGCACAATTATGGATGTTCTGCTACGACTTTGCATTTTCAACACAACACTGACATTGCAGCTACGACCACCGGCGACAGTTATTGTCCTGATATTATAAAAGTACAAATCATATATACATTTATCATGTGTTTTGTAGTGTAGCATATTAAAAAAAAGCATGCTCAAGTAACATTTCTCTAAGTAAACATTCAGCAATAACAGGTATGAGAACAACTGATCCATTTGTTACATGAATTTTAAACAGAAGTGGCTTAAGGCACAGTGTTTCTATCATTAATCTGAAATTTACGTAAAGGCTGATGCTTTTTTAAGGCTATGTTTTGGCTGATATTGGACTGATTTCTAATATCAGTACTGAATCAGGACATTCCGACACACAACACAAGGATGGACAAAACACAACTGAAAACTCCATGGTACTCCATTAACACCCCTTGAAGTTATTTGAACTTGTCTAGGATAAAAAATCAAAAACCGTAAAATGCATTTGTATTCCACATCCCTGTTGATTCATACTTTTAAGAACCACCTTTGGTTGTACCTTCCACCTGGATCTGACCATGTTTCAGCTACAACAGCTTAAAAAAAACAAGGAAAAGAAAGTGTCTTAACAAAAATGCTCAGTCTTGCTGATCTGGACCTCTGGCATCAGTTTGCAGGTCTTCTAAGATCGGCTGTGTACAGCATTATCTCGTATGATATTTTTAAGTCTATAGGACCATTTGCAATGTTGGTACTGTATCCTGTGAAAAAAAATCACTTTGCGTCTCGGGCCTCTTGAATGCCTCTCTGACCAGAACTTTTTACAAAAGTACAAAAGGCTTAGATAGCTCAGATAGAGGGCTTTATCAGGAGAGCTTTCAATGCTGCCATACTCTTGAAGTTTTACGGACTAAATAGCGATGTGGAAGAAGTCCAGACTACAACCTGTATGATGATTCTTTGCTCTTGATGCAGTTCATTCACCAATGTACTCTTGCAAACCTCAGAGGCCTTCACAGAACATAAAAGCATACTGAGGTTTAATTACACGCAGGAGACGTTTAATTAGGTGACTTCCAACAGACGTAAATATGCAGAATGTTCTATGAAGAGGCATTTTATTAAATAGGGCTGAATACAAATGCAGTTTAGGCAATACTTTATTCACAAGTTTCAAAAGATATTTAACCTCTTTGTTATTTGGATAGACTGCCAAGTAAATTCATAGGGGTATGAATACTTATTTAAGGTGCGGTATATATATATATATATATATATATATATATATATATATATATATATATATATATATATATATATATATATTAAAACTGTTTATGTTGGACAGAACATTTTGCACGAGATAGTAATAGTGGATTTGAAAGGATTGATTTAATCACCAATCCTAACAAATAGTAATAATCTACAGAAATGTGCATCTTTATCACTCCACATGTTGACAAGCTCTAGTTTTAAGATACTTACTGTGCAATCTGATCTATAGGTTTGGATGAAACAAAATAACAGCAAAAAGGGATATCTTAATGGAGGTTAGTTAAAGGGAATCAGGATAAAGAGACAGTTGGCATTTCAGCTCTGAAACCAATTTTCTGCATTATCCCAGTATGATAATAAAATGGAAATCAGCAAACAAATTACCTTGCAGCCAGTCCAGCCCTTCCTGCAGACCCTCTCCTTTGATGGCATTGCTGGCACTGTAAAACAAGATGTGCTGCAGGTAAATCGTTTGTGAGGCATTCTTTTACTCCAGACTTTTTTTTTCTTGGACCCTGACTGTTAAATGCTGCCCAGCTCTTAATCCGTTTGCCTTCTTCTGTTTAATGAGTAAACAAGGAGGAGGAAAATGCATGTATGCATAGGAGCTAGACTGTTGAATGACTGCATGTGGCTATTTGTCTGCAATGTTTAACCTACCAACAATGAAAAAGAATAGATTCAGTCCTTGTTTTTAACCAGAAACTATGCTTTTCTTTCATTTTGTTTGGGTAAATAGATATAGCTAGGGTCCGATGGTTTTGTTTTAAGTTCCTTGTATGAATAAGTGAATTCTACAGTGCATCATAACACTTTTCTATTGAGATCAATCATCAAGGTGAAAGCAGAGTGATGGACATTTACCAGATGTGCCAGGGCTTGTCTTTGATGTTCTCCAAACACAACATTTGCGAGACCTTGACAGAAGAGAGAGCATCCCGCAGATCCATCTTGTTTGCAAAGAACAGCACTGGGATCTTTTTGTTGCGGATATCTAAGAAGAAAGTATAAATTGCACATCTGCCTTTCAGTTTAGAGGAAGATATATCACAGAAAATGCTCCCTTATGATATTGGATGTTGAATTATTCCACCACATGAGAACACCAGCTATTTAAAATCCATCTGCCACTGCCACTCAATTTACACAACAGAAGTCAAATGTTGCCAATTAGATCACCTAATTTCATGCCACACTATGCAAACCCTCAGTCTGTCCTAATGAAAGTTGACTTAGTTCTGGATGCTTAATGATCAGAGTGGCTCCAATTCCCTTTTCAGATTTTTGCTGATAATTATTGGATAGCTTTAGGGTGCTAATAGAGAATAAAAAAATGATTCCCAGATGATCATTTAATATTCATACATAGTGGGGTGAAAAACACTGAAAAAAGAAATAAAAAAAAGCAGGGATGTAAAAAATAAGTAATGTATTCCATGCTAAATACTGAATTCCATATGCATGGATCCATAAACACGGACAAAATAAAGATACATCAAGAGAGACACATTTGGTTCCTCTTGTTGATGCTATAATCTGGGCAAAGGGGAGCATGTAGATGTTGAATAGGAGGGCCCCCAGAATGGAGCCTTGAGGAACCCCGCATGTGATTTTTCTGGTCCCTGATCAAAGATATAGAATAGTTTAAAAAAGTAACAGAAGGTGTCAAATGAAAAATCATATTTATCATTTATAATTAAATGCTTTATGATCTATGTCTATAAACAAGTTTAGATCCAACAGTGTATTATTCTTTACTCTATTTTTGGTCATCTGTAATTTTACAATTGTAAACCCTAACCCTAATATATCAGCGATATTTGACACTTTCTAAACTAAGAGTCTTCTAAAGTTACGAGTAATGTAAAAATATATATCGATTATACCTTCATGGTTTAGAAGAGTTTCGAGCTCTTCCTTTGCCACAACCATTCTCAGTTTGTCGCTGCTATCAATGACGAATATAATTGCATTGCTTTCCCTATAAAAAAAAACAAAAACAATCAACTAATAATAATTCACAAAGGTCAAACTATAGCTTTATATACAATATGCAACCAGCATTTTTGTACCCTACTTGTAGTAATGCTCCCATAAGCTTCTGTATCTGTTTTGGCCAGACATGTCAAAAACTGTGAAGGACAGGCTGCAAGGAGTGAGAAAACAACACAAAAAGAAGCAAAATTAGTTGTATTGGGATTAGGATATGGGTATTACACTTCCGAGATGACTTTGTGTTTTACCTGGAGCTTTTGAACTTTTCAATGTTGAAGCCGATCGTCGGGACTATGTCTTGAGCCTGTGCCTACATGTACGCACATTTGCACACATTCACAGACACATGCAAACACACAAAGGCAGACAAGTAATGGCAAAAGTATGTCAACGAAGAAATTAAGGGAGGTATGAAGTGGGCTTTACCTGACTAACATGTTTCCATTCTTCTGACAATGGACCTAAATGATTGGGATGCTGAAAACGAATGATTGCATAGAAATAATAATCTGCATCCCAATGTGTACTTTTATAGCATTAAAAATAATCTATCTGCTAAATGGATGTCAGTACCCACATAACAAGATTGGAAAAAACAACATAACGAAGCATTACAGTTTGTGACATTTTGCTAAAACTTAGGATTTAAGCTTAAATCCTTAAACCAAAACTTACATTCGATGGCTTGAGCTGGTTGATGATTGTAGTTTTGCCGCTGTTGTCCAGCCCCAAGCACAAAACGTTGACTTCTTTCTTCCTTAGGCCAAGCCAGCCGGACAGTTTATCAAGCAGCCCCATTTCACTCAACTCAATGCTAGACCACTTAGATTTTTTAAATATTACCCCATAGATTCAGGAAATCAGATTTGTTAGATTTGAAGATTTTCTCTAAAGCGACATTAATAATAAAACATAGGCCTTAGTGGTGCTCCAGCGCTGTTGCTGTGAATTGATAAAATGCTGCCTGGCCATCGCCAGCTTGTGGCAGGTAATCCTATTAGGTTGAATTAAATCCAGTGAACCACCCGGTGGCCTGCTTGTTGAATGTGGAGCTTAGCAGGCCCCCAATCCTGATGCATTTGATTTATTACACATTAGCACACTGAAGAATTCCCTTTAGCTTTTGGATCCTGTTATAGGAATATAACATCTAATAGAAGCAGCCCTTTCTCTACCTGCAGCCACTTTGGGGGTGTGCAGCTTTACAATTTAGTTTGACTCATGGGTTGAAATAAATGATGTATCACTTTATGATGAACAAAGGTCTAAAATATCACATTTCCTAATTATTTTTTACAGCAACACATTTGGACCTTTTACATAAAATGTTTGAATCATCTCCATGATCCAACAGCTCCATCTTATGGTAACTACAAACGATTTTCGTTTCATATATACTGATAGGAACAATGAAATTTTGAGTTAATTTCTAATTAAACTTAAGAGTGAGCCGTACAAATTTTGGCTTATCAAACTAAGTGATTTACTTGCTGAAATATAATAATTAAACATGTTTACATTTTGTCAAAACCTTCACCACTAGCAGCACTTTACTTTATATTGATTTAATGTAGGATAGTTATAAAATAACTCTAGTTTCAATCCTCAAGGTTTCATGTATAAATATCTAAAATGCATAAATTTTCAACCTCCTTTACTTTGATAATACTAAATAAAACAATGTGGAAAAATTGACTTTCAGAAATCCCCTCTGTAGTTATTAAAGCTCACCTTTGTGTAATAAATGTCACATTAGCCTGATGACAAATTCTCTATAATGATACATGGTAGTGATAGTTTTATTCAGCAGGTAGGCTGTTGAGATGTTGATAAGCACAGGTTCTGTAATGATTCATGCTCTGGACTGCTTTTGGGAATCACTGACTGCTTCTTTGAATGGTTTTCATTTCTTTCACTGCACTCCACAACAATAAATTTACCATGTTCACTTGTGCCTGTCTAATTATCTCCATCTGGACTCTCCAGGATATAAACTAGTTCAAGCCTCAGTACAGTTGCCAGATTATCTAAAGCTTCATGCAGATGAAATCCAGCCTGTAAGAAATGAAGAGAAGCCTCTTCTTGGGCTTTCCCTGCCTAGTTTTCCTGAGGTGTCTGTTTTAATGGTCCTAACCAGTGACTTCTCTTTGCCACGGGATCAGCATTTGCAAAAGAATTTAGGATCATAAGCATCATCTACACCAAAAACTCATGGATCATCTCAGAGTTTTTACAGTTTCTCCTGGAATCACTCCAACAGGATGGACGATCCAAATCTGATGAAGTTTGAGCATTTCTGGTTTCACACAGCCTCTGACCGTCTTTTTCTTCTCCAGATCTGCACGCAGTTCTTTCTATCCAATATCCTAAGTTGCCTTATTTCAAAATTGGTGATTACAGATGCTCAGACTGAGTTTGGGTTGCTTTACAAAGAAAATTTTGCTAAATTGTAATCTTTGGAATGCATTGCATAGGGTGTAATCAAAGCTATCGAAAAAACTAAAAATGTAGGGGGAAAAAAATCTCCTCCAGCTCACAGTGATCTGTTAATTAGCCTTTCGCATAATATCCTAACTTACAGACCATTTACAAAGACAGTTTCACAAAAGTGTACAAAATATTCATATGAGACAATGTATTATATGAAGGCCAAAGGGTATAAATTATTTTACAGAAAAATTTAAATGACTTGCCAACACAGAAAAATTAGAATTGCAAAATAACATAAAAAAACACAGAAAGAAAAAGCTGCAAAGGAGAAATCAGCAGCATCAGATAGTAGAAAGCAGCAAAGTGGAAATGGCCTGCAAAAACAAAAGCTGCTGCAAGTCCACAAATAATTTTAACGTAAAAACACACAAAAGATATGCAAAGAAAAAAATATTGCAAGCAGCAAAAAGTTAGTTTTTTGCTGTTAGTTAAAAAAGTTGCTAACTTGCTTTTTATAATGGAAGTGCATCAGATCAGGCCTGCACGTGATGCAGAGGGTAGCGCTGTTGCCTTGCAGCAACTAGGTTCTGGGTTCAATTCTTTCTGCATGGAGTTTGCATGTTCTCCCCATGCATGCGTGGTTCTCTAATCCTGCTTTCTCCCAGAGTCCAAAAACATAACTGTTAGGTTATTTGGCTGCTCCAAATTGTCCTTAGATGTGAGTTTGTGTGTGCAGGGTTGTGTGTCAATGTGTGTTACTGTGTTGCCCTGCGACAGATTGGCGATCTGTCCAGGGTGTATCCCGTCTCTTGCCCGTAGACTGCCAGAGATAGCCACCAGCCCCACAATGACCCTGACAAGGACCTCCACCTTGGAGCCAGGCTTACTGGAATAAAAACTGATCCTGCCCACGTAGAGAGCCAAAACCCAGAGGACTCTGCAGAGGAGGAACAGTGGATGATTAGGAGACGAGACAGACACAAAACCCTTTTTCCTCTGGCTGCAAGGATCCAGGACATGAAACTTATAATAAACAGAACTGAACAGAAAACAACATCTAATAATGATCTGGCCATGTGGCTGGAACTGACCCCAATATAAGGGAAGCTAATTAGGAGCTGGAAAGATTGAAGCAGGTGAAAATGCATGATCTGCTGCTACCACAGCAGATCATGACAGAAAGCTTCATTTGTTGCCCGCCGACATAGTCTTCAAATCGAAAGGATACAAGCTATGATGTAATCGGCCAACAAATCTGGCCTTCGAAGGATGCAATCGCTTAATTTTATCGCAGCCGTGTTAAGATTAAAAGAAAAACATCCTTTTTTTCTCTTCAGGCATTCTCTCTGTGTCCTGGTCTGATAACCAGTGCTAAGTCTTTTTTGCAGTTACTTTTCTTTGTATCGTTTTCTTAGTATGTTTGATTTGGTGATAAGTGGACGCGTTGCAGAGACAAGGGTGGAACAAAACTGAGAAATACCGTCTGTTTCTCTGTAACTCGATTTTGACGCTTTGTGTTTCGTGCTTCGCATGTGCGACTCCACAGCCTTAATTCCCATCGTTCCGCGCTTGAATTGCTTCTTGCACAATATACACTGTGCCTCATGTATGTTCCCTGGTTTTAGCCATGGAGAAAACTCTTGGCTGGAGCCAATTTTCGTTACATTTACACTTGCTCATATTTTCCAGACAAAAAGTTAATGGCGCATTTCCCAAATGTCCCGACCGCAACAACGTTTTTATTGGTTCCGCTATCGGGACGGAACAAATAATGGCGAGCGTTATTTTTTGATAAAAAAAAAAAAAAAATGTTTTCAATTTTAATGTTTTATTTAGATTACAAAAATAAATTGTAATAAAAATTATCCTATTTATGATGTTTTAAAAATAAGACCTACGAAAGACTGATTTAAGAGATTTTAATAACAATTAAGGCCTTAGTTTTATTTTGACGAATTCAATGCCTTTTAAGACTTTTTAAGGACCCGCGGGAACCCTGGTATTCATCTGATGTTTGTTTTTGCTTGTATCATTTTTAGTTTTTGGTTACAGGACTTTTTAAATTTTCTGCGAAATTTTATATTTCAACACCATTTGTACCTCTTAGCCACAGCAATATGCTCACTTTGGTAAACATTTGACACACTTATAAATAAAACAAAGTCAGCCACCAGAACTGTTCATCTTTATTTGCAAATAAATATTCGCTGTACCTGCCTCTTACAGTGTGCAAGATCTACAACATCTCTTTGGAAATCATAGAAAAATAAAATACAAGAATTGTAATAAGTATACTTGTACTTTGTACAAAAGAACGTTCTAACATTGCTCAGCAGTAGAACATGCTAAACAAACAGCATCTGATAATCTCAGGATTCATGTAGAGGGATGGGCGTTTGTGGGTGTGTGTGTGGGGGTGTGTGTGCTTGGGTTTGTGCGTGCACCTTTCCCGCTCCTGAGGGTCCAGATGCATGACCGACCACACTGTGTCCCAAAAGGCACACCTCTTTAGGTCCAGTTGGGTTTAAACTATGTTATAAAAACTGCAGATAATAATTTTTTATACCATTTAAAGAAATAACTAGGTCCTATGACTGCACTGAAACTTATGAACTCCTATAAAGTGTTTCTGGTTTGCATGGCTAACAGACTGTAAGGCATTCTGTGTATGTGTTGCTGTTACAGTCAATGCTAAAATGATTTATGAATTATGAAACTGCTGTCAATGTTTCAAGCTGCTATTCCTCAATGGTCAAAAAAAGTAAAACAGTTACGAATAATCTCTGCTAACATCTTACATCTAGTCCCGCTTCACTTTTAGAATTGCTCCTATCAGACTAAGCTCACTGCCACTACTGCTACAACCTTTACATGATCACAAAGTATGCAAAAGCAGTTGTTAAAATCCAACCAGACACGTTCCTCTTGTTTCCTCCGATTTCACAAACTAAATCCGCTGTAGAACTGAAATAAAGTACCAGAGTTTTGGTTTTTTAGTTGTGTTTGAGTGTGTGCGTCCAGGCAAAATGACTTGATGCGAGAGGAAGAACCGTCCTTCTTAATAAAGTAAAACAACTAGAAATATTAAAATTCTGTGAACATTCATAAAGTACAACAGTGGAATTTGTAGAGTTTTTTTTTTGTTCTCAGGCGATGTTTAACATTCACAATCAAACGCAAAATTAAACTGACTTAAAAAAACTGTCAGACCGGGATGGTGATTTTCTTGAAGAACCAGTGGAAGTCTGTCATTAAACAGTTCATCCCCCACAGAGACGCTGAGGTGACTGCATAATACTGTATTGCTGATTTGGATTAAAATAAAATCTTTAAAATAAATAAAACCTTTTAGAAAATTTCCAGATTTACTAGGGCTTTCACATACACAACTGCACATATGTCGATATTAGGTTATAATAATAATAATTAACTGTCTATACACTTTAAACATTCATTAAATCTCTATAACGTTCTGCTTTCTTCTTCGTTCAAGTATTAGTGTACCGGATTCTTTAGACATCAGGTAACTAAAACAATCTAAATAAACCTTTATAATAAATAATAAAACTCTAAACTAAAAAATACTGAGGTTATTTCTCTTTTCAAAGGACGAAAAACAGATAGATTGCACACCCGATAGCAGCTACATGAGCAAGAGAAAACAAAGTTCAAAGGTTCGGTAGATTACATTTGCAAATCTACATTTCTATTGTTGCTCCACACACAAAAATACGGCTGTTGCAACAAGGCATTACATTCCCTTAAGTGAGGGCCTGGGCCAGTCTGTGAAGTCCATCAGGCCTTTGGAGTCTGGTAGAACCAGGCGCACAATGTGAGGGGTGTTTGGTAGAAAACAAGTCCAAAGGGAAGAGTAGGAGACCAGGAAGGGTTCTGTTAGAATATTCTTTTCAATGAGGTGTTAAAAATCTGCTGCGGGCTTTAGCCTGCCCTCAGTTGGATCAGACTTCACTTCCTCCTGTCTCGACTACCTG